ATGTAAGTTGAGTCTGCTTAGATGTTTTCTTTACCTCTCACTGTTGAGTGATTGTCTTTAGAACGCTTTCAGTTCATTCTCCTCTGTCGAGGCTGAATCGTGCATAATCAGCCATGGAATAATTTGTCGCTGACTATGAACACACAGGATCATGGTGATCATCTTTTACAAGTGATATGTTAGATATGTGTTTTTGTGGTACCTGTGTAGGTATGTAATGAAATGTGATTATGACAAGATATGTTTATTACTTTCTTTGTTGGACATAAACCACGATGATCTGCTTTGTGCATATAATAGTGGATAGATTGAGTGAAAATGATAACAATTTGTGATCTGATTCAGAAACAACTACTTTTTATTGGTCTTTTAAAACTTGTCTCTATTAAGATATACAGAATATGTTGTGTTGTGTGGACACATTAATGAGCCATCAGCTTTGTCCCCTATTTGTACACATGTCTTACCTGCCCACGACCAGCTGGTAAGGTGTGTTATATAGTCTCCCTATGGTATGACCCAGAGCTATTGTTGAGTCACCATCATATATATAACCATGGCTTGGGTTGCTGCAGTTTATTGAAACAGATTTTTACTTGTTTAGATTAACTGCAATAAAATGTAAATATCAGTTGTATTGGGTTGTCATAGAAGTGTTAAAGTTAACCAATCATATTCTTTGCTTGAACTGTCAGAGTAATCAGAATTGCATGTTTTTTTCCTGACCAGCTGACAGGGTATTACCCTATAAAAGAAATGACCACATCAGATAACTGTAAATCAGCATAATTTATAAAAAGTGTCCTGTTGGCTGTGATGTGGTTTCTTTTTCAGGCTGCATTATCTGTATTAGCTAGAGGTGGTGTGATAATTTCTTCTACCTAACACAACAACCCTCTGTGTTATAAAAATAGGCTTGAATTTGTTTTACACTTTTGAAGGGTCATTCATGCGCATCATATTCTGACACATGGTAAAAATGGGCTTTTAAATCACCTTCAACATGTGGATGTACATGACAATCTTCATTATAGTTCTTTCAACAAAAATTTAAGTTTGCTTGCAGATTTGATATACATCCAAATAGTTACTGAATCTTTCCTCCTTGTAACACTATCTCCCTGCTCTGCTGACCGTGATAAGGTTGGCTCTCTCATTTACATGCTCTCTCCAGAATGGACTAAATCCCCTATCTAAACATTTTTCATGGATAATACCAGGAATGTTTGTGCTTGTGTAATACTTCTGATCAACTTTTGAGGAAACACAGTTCTTGAAATACTAATATTTAATCATAACTTCAAACCAAAGTTTGATCATCAAATATACATCTCAGGTAAGTCCACCAGATCTCTGTGTGCACAGCTTTGTGTAACAGAGACATAGGAACAGGCAATGGTTCATAGGCCTAGAAGTGTTTGTCAAATGGTATGTTATAATGTAAGGGGAATATGACCAATAATTATAACTGTGAGACTAACTCACACAGTCAAATAATCCCAAAAATGATATATGTCATATGACAAATAATTGTAGCATGAGATTAAGACACACAGAATAATATTCCCCACAGTGATATATGTTATACCACAAATAATTGTAGTTGTGAGACTAACAAACACTGACTAATAATCATCATAGTGTTTTATGTTATACAGGGAACCTGGTCCAGTAGCTATTGATAGGATTGTTAGACTAACACACACTGACTAATAATCATCATAGTGTTTTATGTTATACAGGGAACCTGGTCCAGTAGCTATTGATAGGATTGTGAGACTAACACACACTGACTAAAGTACCCCATAGCAATCTAATTAAATGTTATGTATTGGAATATGGTCTATAAGTAGAGTTATGATAATATATATATACACTAACACACACATGATAATACTCATCACAGTGATATTGGGAACATTGTCCTTCAGTTGACTTTTGATACTAACTAATGCAGACTAAAATTCCCCACAACGATCTCATTAAATATCATATATGGAGGAAGTGGTCGAGAAGTGGAATTATGACTTTAACCTAAGGAGTGTTTTGACGGATGCTAGCATTCAGAATTGGATCTCTGAAACTTGTTTTCCACACTAGTAGGTAGTTTGATATGGTTAGTCATGATTGTGAAGAAAAACAGATGTAAACTATTTAACAAGCTTTCTGTCTTCAGTCTGTATCTATGTCTATACTGCTTTATGCATAATAATATTCTTTCAATTTCTGAGAAAAAGCTGTACAGTTTCTGTGAAATGGTTTCTACTGACAAGATCGTAGAGCAGTATCTATCTTATTTGGACTTAACATCAGGGGTTTTCTCTGTGGCTTGTAATAAGTGAATGTAAAGCAGACCAAAAGACCACTTGTCCCATCACCCAGTTCTGTTAGACTTCCCATCAGGGGTTTCCTCTGTGGCTTTAAATTATGAATGTAAGGGAGACCAAAAGAAGACTAATGACTTGTCTCATCACCCAGTTCTGTTAGACTTCATATGGAAGGTTTTCTTTTGTGGTTTGTAATAATTGAAAGTTAGAAGACTAAAAGACCACTTATAAATTGTCCCATCATCCAGTCCCGTTAGTTTCCTTCTGTGGCTTGTGAGAAGTTGATGTTGGGAGACTGAAATTGATTTTATAACTTTCTTCACAATTGTAAAATTTCAGGTCATAAATAATAATATGAATAAGCTTAATTCTCAGCAGTTTCTCAATAATATCATGACTCCTCCTCCTCCTCCTCAAAAAAAAAAAATGAAAAATTAATATAACATATTCTATTTTCATTTAAGAAACAAAGACAGTTGTTTTAAAGTATATTTGAAGTGTTTTCCTTGATAGTTTCAACAATACAATACAGTTTCTTGTATCAGTTTTGTTTGTTGGACTGTGTGCTGATTACTGGCCATTGACTGGAACCTCGGGTCTCCCATCAGTACTGTAGCTTGGAAACAAACTATTGATTTCTACAGCTACTGCTATATCTAGACTGTTCTGTTTTTAGTTGATAAACCTACTACATTGTCATGTTTGTCTTCATCACAATCAATGAGTAATCCTACTTCAGGATGTTGGAACTGTCCGAGAAGTATGTTATCACACGCAGACCAACAGAATTCAATACCCAAGACTAGTTTCTGATCATTATGTTCTAATATTCCATAGTTTATGGAATATTTTGTTTCCAAAAATTGATTGATTTAAAAATCAAAAACCGCTTGTTCAATAGATATTGAAAACCAGATATTACAAAAACATAAGAAAGGGAAGTGACATTTGAAGATGTTGTCAGCACATACTTTGTGTTTGTTAATAGATAACTACTGTAATGTACATCAGCAGTAATTGCAGGTTTATCCAGGTATGTACCTGGATGGAATATCCAATCCTAGATCACATATATTTCACACTTGAGCAAATTAATAAGAAAACTTTATAGTGGAAAGTGTACACATGCATGTCTATCAGTTTACCTTACATAAGCTTGTCGATTCTGATCTCTAGTCTTGGCTGTCAGTAAAATGACATCTATCTTGGCGCTTGTATAGTTATATGCATGACAAAATTCTGTGTTCCTTTCTGAGATCTACTCATACAGTATGCATATATAACCACAGCCGTATTAGAAATGTTTTTAGAGTTGTGAATGTGAAACGCTTTTTTCATCAAAGTGAAATTTCATTGATTACCAAAACCTGATCATTAATCTGCTACGCAGTGCCAGTACAGTGTTTGGTGATATTGATCTGTGATGTAAGAGATTGGTTTTTAGCATGCTGTCACACATTTACTGCACTGTAGATTCTTTGCAAAACATCAGCTTAGACAGGAAATGACTGTAGAATTACACAATATTTATGTGCTGGTCCAGATTTATAATAGCTGTACCTGGCTGTAGACTTGGTCAAGAGGTTTAGAACAGTCTTACATACCAATCAATATTCTCTATACATTTTTTGTCTGGACTGACATTTGCAATCCACTGTCAGTTACAACCTGTATTATTCTTCAGTTTGTCCCAACCCTTTTGTGTGATGGATATTTATGTGCACTTCCCTCCTGTCATTAATGATGTTGTATGACATAACTACTGTTGTGTGACATTACTACTGTTGTGTGAATGCTATATGACATTACTACTGTTGTGTGGGTGTTGTATGACATTACTACTGTTGTGTAAATGTTGTGTGAATGTTGTGTGACATTACTACTGTTGTGTGAATGTTGTATGACATAACTACTGTTGTGTGAATGTTGTGTGACATTACTACTGTTGTGTGAATGTTGTGTGACATTACTACTGTTGTGTGAATGTTGTATGACATTACTACTGTTGTGTGGGTGTTGTATGACATTACTACTGTTGTATGAATGTTGTGTGACATTACTACTGTTGTGTGAATGTTGTGTGACATTACTGTTGTATGAATGTTGTATGACATTACTACTGTTGTGTGAATGTTGTGTGACATTACTACTGTTGTGTGAATGTTGTGTGACATTACTACTGTTGTGTGAATGGTGTGTGACATTACTACTGTTGTGTGAATGTTGTGTGACATAACTACTGTTATGTGACAGTTGTGTGGCATTACTACTGTTGTATGAATGTTGTGTGACATTGCTACTGTTGTGTGAATGTTGTGTGACATCACTAATGTTGTATGAATGTTGTGTGACATAACTACTGTTATGTGACAGTTGTGTGACATTACTACTGTTGTGTGAATGGTGTGTGACATTACTACTGTTGTATGAATGGTGTGTGACATTACTAATATTGTGTGAATGTTGTGTGACATTACTACTGTTGTATGAATGTTGTGTGACATTTCTACTGTTGTGTGAATGTTGTATGACATTACTACTGTTGTGTGAATGTTGTGTGACATCACAAATGTGTGATCTGCATGTTTAGTTAAAATTTATCAACATTAATAATATTAAGAGAAATGAAAACATTCAGACGATAAAAAATAATTTGTTTTTTTTTTTATCCAGAAAAAAGATAGAAGAGATTGGCAAGATGACTGCCCTTTCCCAGGAGGAGATATTCTGTAACACCAAGACCATTATACAGGGCCTTGATACTCTGAAGAATGAGCATCATCAGATACTTAATGGATTGCTGTCTTCCATGAAGACAATCAAACGGGAAAATGGAGACACTAACCTCATGGAGGAAAAAACAAACAGACTGAAAAAGTCACTGGAAACAATAGAACTAGGGCTTAGTGAAGCACAGGTAAGTGAATTGTGTCTTGATTGGAAACAATATTGGTCCCCACAGGCTATGAATATTATTAGAATTCCTACAAAATGATAAACAGAAGTTAAACCAGACCATCTCTACTACACCCTCAAACATTTATAAACAGACATTTTACAATGGAATAGTGATTGAATTATTTTTTAAATTGGACGTTTACAGGTTGAAATAAAATAGAATTTTCAAATCCTATCGCAGAATTCTGGGGATATCGTCGTGTAACAAATTATACATGACCTTAATCATCCTTACAGTCCTGGTGTAAATTGCTGTCCACATTTACCATGTAACAACAAATACAGCTTGTATAATAAAGATTAAAAGTTCCTCTGGAACATGACAATAGTATGATAGTTTTTTTCGCTAGTGCCAACACTGTATTGAAACTTAGAAAGAACATAGGAAATCTCAAGATTGTGATTGACGAAGACGAAAGAGAGAAAGAACATAGGAAATCTCAAGATTGTGATTGTCGAAGACGAAAGAGAGAAAGAACATAGGAAATCTCAAGATTGTGATTGACGAAGACGAAAGAGAGAAAGAACATAGGAAATCTCAAGATTGTGATTGACGAAGACGAAAGAGAGAAAGAACATAGGAAATCTCAAGATTGTGATTGACGAAGACGAAAGAGAGAAAGAACATAGGAAATCTCAAGATTGTGATTGACGAAGACGAAAGAGAGAAAGAACATAGGAAATCTCAAGATTGTGATTGACAAAGACGAAAGAGAGAAAGAACATAGGAAATCTCAAGATTGTGATTGACAAAGAGTTAATGATTGTTAAGAGAGCTTGGTGACTACTGACAAAGTTACTGTTGTGTAAAGAGCTTTGTGATGGTTGGCAAAGATGATAGTGTTACCATCGTTCAGAGAGCTTTCGGGAAAATTTGTTTGACAAAGAATGTATTTGGTTTTCAGGTAATGATGGCGCTTTCAAATCATTTACAACACGTGGAAGCAGAAAAACAAAAGCTACGTGCACAAGTGAGAAGGTTGTGTCAGGAAAATGCTTGGCTAAGAGATGAACTAGCAAATACACAACAGAAACTACAAATGAGTGAACAGAAAGTAGCAACTATTGAAGAAGAGAAGAAACATTTGGAATTTATGAATGAAATGAAAAAGTATGATTCATCAGATCCACAGCAGACCAGTGTGGTAAGTAGAGAGCCATCCCTTGTAAAGTTTTCTTCACCACTTAGCACACCTGAGTAAATCACAAATACTTACTGTCACATAGACATATATTTCTAGGGTCACAAAGACATCATGTTTGCTATAGAGGATATTAAATAGTTTCCTGTGTAACCTAATATTTTTTTTCAATTGTATTAAAGAAAATATCTATATTTGAAAAATATGTATATTCTGTCATACTTATTACAAATACAGAGGAACTTCTCCATGCATGTCATATGAAAATTTGACGGTTTAGGAAGGGTTCAGTTTGCTGAGTGAGTGAAGTTGACTGGTATCAACTCAGATTTAATTGCTCAAATTCTGTTCTGTATATTACATTATCTATTCCACTTGCTTTGAGCATAAACACTTCACATACTTATACAATATATAACTTAACTCAAAAAAAAAAATTATGCATTGCCCGGAAATGTCGGCACCTAATAACTCACCTGCGCCAGAGGCACAAACCCTACGACTGTCAGCTTATGTTGATTTCTTAGACCAGTGTTGGTACTTATGTCTTGGTAAGGTAAGGGTGGTCTACAGGAGTTAATTCTATGTGTTTTAATCAATTCGAACATAAAATTGATACAGAATTCAAAATTAAGTTGGATTGGTATGGGACATTTTTTTATTTCAGTACTACAGAAGACACCATTTTGTATATGGCCATTTCATTTGGTTTCAAGAGACGATTCGTTTTGAGAAAGATCAGTGTAGGGAATTTGTATGCGATGTTAAATGGGAATCTATAAACAGTTTTTATATCACTTTTTTGAATGAAACAAATAAAGAAAAAACCCAATCCAACTAAAAAAAAAAAAAAAATGATTGATCAAAACACTTCAGAAAAAGTCAGCAGATTCTTGTATATCCGATAGTTTGATGTTATTGGCTGCGTAATGTGGTACAATATTTATACTGCTATCTGATAAGAATCACTTACAAAACTGATTTAAATATGAACTAAGAGAAAACACAAAGCATACACAAAAAAACAAAATTTGATGGAAAACCAGTGTATTCAACCTTCCTTTGCATCGAAACAGGATAAGCAGCAAATTTCATGAGTGACTAGAAAGCACACCGCTGATTGGTCAAAACCACAAAAATTTCCATCTCATTGGAAATATTTTTACTTAAACAAATTGATAAATTCCTCTACTTCACTGTTTTATAAAATTAAAGCTATTTTGATGTGAAATGACACTGATTTCTGCCTCTAAGCCTTTTTAGTTGATTTTCTGCCATAAGCTTGTTGAAAACAGTATGCAGCTGTACTTGAATGGCGTTTTTCTTTGTCAGTCATTACCACGCTCAGCAGGAGGGGTTGTTGGCTCAGTGGTAAGTGGTTGGACCCGGTGATCTCTACACACTGGGTTGTTGGGTAGAAGGATAGAGTTTGGTTACTATTCTACTAACACTGTGTGGCGCTCTTCAATTGCACCAACATACAAATTCAAGCTTTGCTTTCACATGTATATCAAAGACTGTGGATTTATTTAATTCATAACAATGTAAAATCATTCTGAAGATTCATTTTGTGTCCATGAGAAAAAACATAGATTTCGTAAAAAGATACATTCTTCATGATGCATTATAAGAAAAATGTTTACATTACCTGCTTCAACCAACTGATTGGGAAATACTGTATTTATTTAATTGGTTGATATTAGCAAAGTCATTTTCTGATATTCTGTGTGTCATTCACTCAAATCACTACTTCAGCATCATTTGTGTGGCAGACTCCCTTTTAAGGGATTTCATTGAAGATGGGCATAAAATGAAAAGTGACACTGTAGCAGGTGATATAACCTGGAGAATATTCAAGAACTAGCTGAAATAAAAGTCCATCTGTGATTATAGATATCTGTTAGTGAAAGGAGTTTGAAATTTCATAACAAAGGGATTCTGGTGATCTAGCCGAGGGTTCTCTTCATGTGAATGTAATAGATTTGACTTTCTGTTTTTTGCAGCTCTTTCTGTTATATCTTTTCTCTGATAGACTAATACATTTGGGAGACGTTTAATATTCATGAATGGTAACTTCTCTTCTAACAGATGTTGGAATGCTGGTATAGTCTTTAACTAGGGTTTTCTCTTCTGAATCTTTAACTTCAATTTCAGATTTCTTCGCTCATATTACTCATATCAAAACTGGAATTAAATTTTAGAATGTGATTTCACAACAATCAGACTGACCCTTTGATCAAAGTATTTATAATCAACCCTTTGTTTTACAGTGTGTTTACTGTGACAGGTGATCTATACCGTGATATACTGAAAATAGCATGCACATCAAAGGAAACACAGTGTACTCTAAATTGTCTTATTTCTAAACGATATAAAAGTTTCTGCAAAATATGTAATTTACAATACTTGTAAAACATTAATGTTTACTGACAGATAGATATTGATGATCAGTTTACATTCTCCATTCCAGGTGTCAAGTGAACATTTTGAATCGCTGTCATTGTAACTTATCCTTAAACAAGCATTTGATTTCTCTGTTACAGCACCAAGTGACAGAAGAGAAAGAACAGGACCAGTCAACACAGTCTCTAGAACTTGGGTTTCCTGATGATGACGAGGACTCCCCTCAACCTGAAGGTTAGTTTCTACATCTAAAATTCTGAAAGTCTTGTTTCTACATTTAAAATGTTAACTACACTGACAGAACATTTTTCCTTTTGGAGAATTATAGTGTGAATCATTAAGATGTATAAAAGAAACACTACATTAATGGTTAACATAAAGATTAAAATGTGATATCTGGAAACTCCATATTTCAGTTCTTTCCCCCTCCCAACCCAGTGCAATGGCTCAGGCGGCCAGCGGGGGTTACGAAATTCCTGCACGGTTACGCACCCTTCATAATCTAGTCATACAGTACGCCTCCCAGGGCCGGTATGAGGTTGCAGTGCCACTATGTAAACAGGCACTAGAGGACTTGGAAAAGACGAGTGGACATGATCATCCAGATGTAGCCACAATGTTAAATATACTTGCACTTGTATACAGGTAAGAAACACCAGTCTGTTGGAACAGGGACATCAACTTTATTTAACTTCAGATATGTATGATGGCAGTAAACAGTTACAATGTAAAGGCATTCCATTGTTTACTGACTGATAAATGAATTGTGTAACATCATACTGAAAAGTCATATATTTACGAGGGGGTCAATTTTCATGGTTTTTCAAAAAAAAATATGAAAAATGAATAATAAAAAAGACTTTTTCCTTAAGATTGAATTTTGTTTATAAATATAGCTCATTAAATCTCCTTATACTATATTTTACATGTTTATAGACATCAATAGAGTCAGATTATCAATAAAATTAATTCCCCATGAAAATTAATGATTTTGCAGTATATATTGTTGTCAGAAATTATTTCAGGTGTACAGTGTTTACGTAGTAGAAAGATGAAGAACATGAAACATGATCATTTGTGTGTTGATTTTTTTCCCTGTCTGTAAGAATTCACATGACGTAGTGTGAAAGGGATATGCACCAGCTTTCTCTTCCTCAGACAATATCAGTTTGTAACACTGCTACTGTGTGGTATTTGTTCCCCATGTTGTGACCATGTAACTGGTTTACCCTGCTTATAGATACAAATTTACTGGAGATGGTAAGAAAGTATTCTGATTTTCAGGATTATATAGCTTAAAATCATTTTTTATATATTGTTATTGTTTTTCCTTTCCTGACACCGAAGCCCATGTTGTCAAAGAAAGCTATTCGTTTTATACTCACTAGTTATAGATTCAGAGAAGTCAGTGGTAAGAATAGACAACTTGAGCCTCTATCATATTGTAGACACAATCATCAAATGTCAATGTATGTAGTCTACACATGTATGTGATCAGTGTTTAGTTGTTGTACAGATCCATCAGATCAACATTCTTTTGGAGCTTAAACTTGAATGTTGTCATGTTATGTGTCGTTTATAGATTTCAGCTGGTGACATTGACTTGTTTATTTAGAGAAAGTTATTGATTTTGGATGTGAATAGTGGCATAATAGTGATAACCAAGTGCTGGGAGGTGACAGCTGTTTACTTTGCTTTCTATATTCATGTCAAATGCACATATAACTTCAATATGTGACAAATTTGAATGAGTAGAATTAGACAAGAGTCAAATGCTGCCTTCCCAACATCACTCTTACACTTCATGATGTCATCAGATTGGCATTATCGTCAATACTCTTGGATCATCTCCCTTGATGTCATTCATCAATGTTTCATCTCCCTTGCTATTGCTCTTTATAACGAGTTTTTTCCCTTAATGTTGCTCTTGTCTCTCAGCTCAAGTTATTCCATCACTCTTCATCTGTAAAGGTCCCCCTTCCCACTTTCATCAATTTACCTTCCTTCCATCACTCTTCATCTGTAAAGGTCCCCCTTCCCTACTTTCATCAATTTACCTTCCTTCCATCACTCTTCATCTGTAAAGGCCCCCCTTCCCTACTTTCATCAATTTACCTTCCTTCCATCACTCTTCATCTGTAAAGGTCCCCCTTCCCTACTTTCATCAATTTACCTTCCTTCCATCACTCTTCATCTGTAAAGGTCCCCCTTCCCACTTTCATCAATTTACCTTCCTTCCATCACTCTTCATCTGTAAAGGTCCCCCTTCCCTACTTTCATCAATTTACCTTCCTTCCATCACTCTTCATCTTTTAAGGTCCCCCCTTCCCTACTTTCATCAATTTACCTTCCTTCCATCACTCTTCATCTGTAAAGGTCCCCCTTCCCTACTTTCATCAATTTACCTTCCTTCCATCACTCTTCATCTGTAAAGGTCCCCCTTCCCTAGTTTCATCAATTTACCTTCCTTCCATCACTCTTCATCTGTAAAGGTCCCCCCTTCCCACTTTCATCATTTACCTATCTTTCCATCACTCTTCATCTTTTAAGGTCCCCCCTTCCCACTTTCATCATTTACCTATCTTTCCAACACTCTTCATCTTATAGAAATGTCTCCTCCCTAGAATAATCTTCCTTTCCTTTACTCTTCATCTTGTAAAATGCCTCTTCGTTGAGTTACCTACCACTCCATCACTCCTCATCTTAAAAAGTGTCCTTTCCCTTTTCTAAAGTTACCTTCCTTTCATTCACATATCATCATATAGAGAGCCTCTTTCCTTGAGTTACCTCCCTTTCTGTCACTGTCTTGTTCCCATGCATGTGCACTGCATGTTAATTTTATCATTCCAGAGATCAAGGCAAATACAAAGAAGCGGGTAATCTTTTACATGATGCATTAAAAATCAGAGAAAAAACTCTGGGCGCTGATCACCCTGCAGTGAGTGTCTAGTTTGTGCTCTGTTTCTGACCCTGCAACATCTGTTGTGCTACCAGTGTGCATGATCTAACATTATGGTTTTGAAGTACAAAGTAGATTCATGTCAGTTGCAATGCAAAGTTTTACCCAAAGTCTCAAGTCTCAAATGGCTTCTATTTGGCTATTTTTAAGTTATGATACTTTTACTTCAAAACTGTCTTTTCATAGTTTGCCAAGTTTGAACCTTAAATTTCCGAACAATGCATACTAGTAAATGGTTTTGTTCATCCAACATAAACCTTATATATAAATTCATCATTTGGTATCTAAAGACATCCTTTGTGGTTGAAATCTGGCAAATTATGGAGATGCTGTTGGCAGCAACCAGGCTTGGTCCAAGGCACTAACACAAATCTAACTGTAAGGTAGATCTGTAAGGTTGTTTTAACATTTTCAGAGACCAAGGGAAATACAAAGAGGCTGCAAACCTACTGAATGATGCCTTAGGCATCCGAGAGAAAACCCTGGGATATGACCACCCTGCAGTGAGTCTAATCATCCTAGTATTGATCGTTATGTTGTCACTGCATGCAAACACAAAAAAACTCTATCATTTATTTTCATTTAAGTTTTTGAATGTCACTTTAATTTTTGTCAGAGAAAGCCTTGTTTTTGATGAAAAATGTGTTGAATGTTGAAAGTTTTGATTACAATTTCTTAAAAAAGTTCACCAAATTATGGGGGGAGGAGGGAAGGGACAAAAACTCCTTAACATTGGTGTGATGCTTAGCATATTAATGTTTGCTTTTGAAATAATCCACTATTCCTATATTTCCTTTCATCTGATGATGTGTGTGATTTGTGTGTAATATATATAGTGTAGATTTAGTGTCTGGTTTCTATGTGATTTTAGTGTGGATTTTTTGTCCATTGTTTCGTCTTGTTTGTATTTAGAACAGATTTTTATGTGTCCACTGTATTTTCTGTTTGTATCTAGAATAGATTTTTATGTGTCCACTGTATTTTCTGTTTGTATCTAGAATAGATTTTTATGTGTCCACTGTATTTTCTGTTTGTATCTAGAATAGATTTTTATGTGTCCACTTTTTTTCTGTTTGGATTTCGAGTAGATTTTTATGTGTCCACTTTTTTTTCTGTTTGGATTTAGAGTAGATTTGTTGTGTTACATCATCTAAATGAAGATTTGAGAACTTTTATAGGTAGAGGTGTGTTTACCTTCACTTGTCCAATCTCTGTCCAATATTGACCATTTAGTCCAATAATGACCATTTAGTCCAATGATGACCATTAGTCCAATATTGACCATTTAGTCCAATAATGACCATTAGTCCAATAATGACCATTTAGTCCAATAATGACCATTTAGTCCAATGATGACCATTAGTCCAATATTGACCATTTAGTCCAATAATGACCATTAGTCCAATAATGACCATTTAGTCCAATGATGACCATTAGTCCAATAATGACCATTTAGTCCAATGATGACCATTTATGACCATTTAGTCCAATAATGACCATTTAGTCCAATGATGACCATTTATGACCATTTAGTCCAATAATGACCATTTAGTCCAATGATGACCATTAGTCCAATATTGACCATTTAGTCCAATAATGACCATTAGTCCAATAATGACCATTAGTCCAATAATGACCATTTAGTCCAATGATGACCATTAGTCCAATAATGACCATTTAGTCCAATGATGACCATTTATGACCATTTAGTCCAATAATGACCATTTAGTCCAACAATGACAATTTAGTCCAACAATGACCATTTAGTCCAATGATGACCATTTATGACCATTTAGTCCAATAATGACCATTTAGTCCAACAATGACCATTTAGTCCAATGATGACCATTTATGACCATTTAGTCCAATAATGACCATTTAGTCCAACAATGACCATTTAGTCCAGTGATGACCATTTGTGGCCATTTAGTCCAATAATGACCATTTAGTCCAACAATGGCTATTTAGTCCATTAATGACCATTTTTCAAAGATGACTGTTTATGTAAGACTTTACCTTGGTCTAACGGCTTTATTTTCTGGGGGCACAGTGGTCAAGGGGTTAAGGCATCAGACTGTCTTTATCACTAACCCTTCACCTCTCGGTTATTGAGGCCTATGTAGAACAGTGACCATTTGCAGGTTTTTTCTTCTTGAGGAGCTCCTGCTTTCATTCACCATGCAAACATGACATATCCTTAAATGACCCTGTTAATAGGATGTAAAGCAATAATATGCTAAGCAAGCTTTACTTTCTAAAGATGTCGTCCTTGGACCTAGGGTTTTTACTATCTCTAAGGACTTGACTCTGTTTCTATTGACCTGACCAGCTGTCTAAAGACCAGATTCTCTGTCTTAAGGACTTAAACTGTACCCTGAGTGTAATTATATATTCAGATATAATGTTAAGAATGCGGTAAAAATAATAACCAAAACCCCGTCAAAATCCATCGCCCCAGTGTCGAGTTATTAAAGCTCAAAGTTGTCGATTTTCACCTGTCCGCTCGGACCTAATCAGCGTAATCATCATTTCCGCGGAATCGAGGCGCTTCTACTCGTGACGTCATAAGTTCAACAGAAATGGCAGCCAACATGACTGACAGTTACGACACTGCACCTGATAGCAATTTGAACATGAGTTTTGAGGAGTCTGATTATGGTGTGGATGATATTTCTGAAGACGGAATCCAGCCCTACCGATTTGAACTGGAATTACAAGACGATGTATCCAGTGAGGAGGAAAATAACCCTTTGGAAAGTGACAATCGCTTGGGCAACATAGATTGGCACGTACTTCACTGGGTCTCACCAGTAGTCGTGAATGCATGCATTGAACAGTGAATCGTCGTTTCAAAGAAACAAAATAAAATTGTGTGTGTTTTTGGACTAATTTTACTATCTTTAATTCTCTATCAACAATTTCTGACGTCGGGAAATCGCGTTTGTGCAAGACTATGCATATATTCACTACTAGGCCTACTCTGTGTATTAGGCGTTCACGATTACGAAGGAATAATATTCCAATGACCGCCCACGCCATAGACTAGCCTATCAATTTTGTGTTTAGTTGTAGAATTAATAACAAAATATCAAACTAACAAATATACTTTTATTTAATCAACAATCAGTTTAATTTATCAACGGCATGCATCGACACCCCATCCGTGTTAGTGTTAGGACAACCGTATACTACACACTGCTTCCCTCCTTGATAGGAAGCCATTTTAGCAGATTTAAGCACTAATTCGCTGACCCCTCGTTCACTACCTTAAATATTGCGAAGATGTGAAGTACTTTCATGTAAATAAACAAAGAAATTACTCTGGAAAATCCCAAAATAGATCACAATCACATGTAGCACAGTAAAGACAATATGGCTGCATCAGCAAAAGCGTTGAACTTATGACGTTACAGGTTTGGATGCCCGAAAATGAGGTCAACGCCTCTCAGCCAAAGGTGTGTTTTTCAGAAAAGTTGCAATTTCTCAGTAATGGAACATTTCGCGGCATTCTCGTTTTCGGCAATGTGTATTTTATGTGCAGAACTTTTTTTAAGGTCAACATAGCTGACCTCTCAGGGTACACTTTAACTCCTTTTCTAAGGACTTGACCCTCTGTGTTAAGGACATGACCCTCTGTTTTAAGGAATTGACCACCTGTCTAAGGGCCAGACTTTATATGTAAGGATCCAACCCCTAAGGACATAACCTTCTCTCTTAAAGACTTGACCTTCTATCGATGGACATGACCCTCTGTCTTAAGGACTTGACCCTCTAATGGCTGGAACCGCTGTCTAAGGACCTGACCCCCGTCGAAGAACCTGATCCTCTGTCAAAGGGCATAACTCTCTGTCTAAGAACTTGACAGACTCTCTGTCTAAAGGCTTGCCCTTTGAATTGACAATTCTTTAGTACTGTCCATAGAATAGACCTTTTATACACCAAATGACTATAGATTTTGTGACTAAATTTTGTTGTAACTTGTGAAAAAGATTGTACAAGGGACACACAACTGAAAAGCACCTTTGAATACAAACTTGGAGTTAGATACAGTAGAGCCAAACAATGAATTATTTACCTATTTTGATAACATTTGCTGAATTTTTCAGACAGATAGAAATTCAAGATTTGTAGATGTCATTTGAAATGTTTGTATAACTTTGGCCTGTTCAGCTGTAAATTTGTCATTGTATATTTGTAATATAATTGTGATGGTAGGATAAATAAATCAACTATATATATATAAATGTTGTACAAATTGATACATGAGGAAAATGATGAATTTGTTCCGTATTTACATACACAATACACCTAAAAGGTTAAAAACTTGATAAATTTGTTTCTGAATCATTTATTAGGATCTGAAATATGCAATTGTCAATATGTTTTGGTTGAATCTTAATAATAATGATTTTACTGCCTTGTAGGTAGCAGCCACACTGAACAACTTAGCTGTATTATACGGAAAAAGAGGCAAATACAAAGAGGCTGAGCCCCTCTGCAAGAGGGCTCTGGAAATTAGGGAAAAGGTGAGGAGACCAAAAGTTCCAAAATGTTTGTTTTTATATACTTTGTCAGAGATGGTTTTAAAACATAATTTTAATTAAACATAATTGAAAGTAACGAAGTTACATATAAGATGAGAATTTGATCTCAAACAAGATGTCGGTATGACACTGAACAATTGTTACTGTCAGGTAAAATGGTGTGTTAGTGGTATGAGAGATATTGATTCGCAAACTTGCTGCAGTTTTAACTGTCTAGACACACTGCACCAACCTCAGACAATGCAACACGCCAATCTGCATTGTTGGCACAACAAGGAAACAGTATTTTGTGCCATTAATATTTGTGACTTGTGTAGATTTGTTTTATATTTTGTTTGATAATGATAATGTTAAATATTTTTTTTCAGGTTCTTGGAAAAGACCATCCAGATGTAGCCAAGCAACTTAATAATTTAGCTCTATTGTGTCAAAATCAGGGCAAATATGAGGAGGTATGTAAAATATAAATAACTTATAGTTTCGTGGTGTCAAAATTAGGCAAAATTTGAAGAGGTATATAATACGAGATTATTCTGGATTTAATGAAGCAATACAGACAGGAATGTTGATAATTTATACCTTGAATGTTCATGATGTAATTAGGAAAGTAAAATATCAGTTGTAATTGGTTGTGACTTTGTACCAACATTCTTACGATTATCTGTCAATATTCTCTTGTTTATAGCATGATATTCATTGGAGATTATGGTAAATAAATCTTCACAATTGTTGACAAATACAGTGATGAATTTTGGACCGAGTGGTCTATATATAAACTTGTCTCTCCCTGCTCATACTGTCCCAGGTGGAACAGTACTACCAAAGGGCCCTGGATATTTACGAAGGTAAACTGGGCCCCGATGACCCTAATGTTGCTAAGACAAAGAATAATTTGGTAAGAGAACAAACCTCCTTGTGTTAATATCGTCAGCATGGAATCTCTCTAGACGGTGTAGTCATTTCTTTCCTCCGTTTTGTATGCACTGCTTATTTACAACCTCTGATGTTGTATTGTTTGCCTGTTGTTCTGTTCCAGGAAGGTTGATAGCAGCCATATTTTTGTTTTGCCTTAAAGTCATTGCCAATTTATTTCATTTTTCTTTGCAGTGAAACTTCATATCTACTGTTCAGAAAGTCAATTTAAAATTCATGTGACATTTGATGAAAAAAATAATAAATGTCCCATATTCACCACAGTTGTCATGAAAAAATGTGAGCTGGTGTAAAACCCATTATGTTATAGGATATTAAGCTTTGTATGTTTGAAATGTTGAAGGAGAAATGGAAAATGAGAAGAAAAAGAAACTAAACCCACATACAATCTAATATGTTTTCTCAGACTTTCTGGCGTGTAGGTACGACTCCCTGGTTTGATTTTGGGGGCTGCTTCTGGTGTTTATTATTTAGCTCTAAGATACTGCATGCATGTCTGACTCTGGTCTTGTGTCATTGCTTGTAATTTGCAGGTGGAACACTATTATAGAAGAGCATTAGATATATATCTGAAACGACTTGGCACAGATGATCCCAATGTAGCCAAAACCAAAAATAATCTGGTAAGGTTGGGCACAAAAGCCTGTATAAGCTTAATCCAGTTTGATTTCATCACCATCAGGTGATATAAATAGAGTATGGTATTTGTGGTGGTGCACACATTCAAAAAACACATTTCCATTTCATGAACACTTATGGGGAAACCAATCATTAAGTAACATTTCAATTTTAATCACAGGAAAAGAGGAAGAATGTTCAATGACACCATCAATGGCCTAAAATAAGTAATGAAAACAAAATTATTTAGATCTAAATCATATTAGAAGTATTGTTTTGAAGGAAAGCAATAATACTGTCTGCTATACCAGGATAACACTTTTGTATTGCACATTTGATGTTTGTCGGTTACTGGTCGTGCTAGGTTGTCAATATGCATGTCTTTTCTATTGTTATTTCTCTGTTATATTATAGATTGATGTATACTTTCATTATCATAGAGTATCTAGATTCTGTAATCATGGAGTATCTAGATTCTGTAATCATGGAGTATCTAGATTCTGTAATCATGGAGTATCTAGATTCTGTAATCATGGAGTATCTAGATTCTGTAATCATGGAGTATCTAGATTCTATAATCATTGAGTATCTAGATTCTGTAATCATGGAGTATCTAGATTCTGTAATCATGGAGTATCTAGATTCTGTAATTATGAGTATCTAGATTTTGTGATTACGGAGTATCTGGATTCTGTAATCACGGAGTATCTAGATTCTGTAATCATGGAGTATCTAGATTCTGTAATCATGGAGTATCTAGATTCTGTAATCATGGAGTATCTAGATTCTGTAATCATGGAGTATCTAGATTCTGTAATCATGGAGTATCTAGATTCTGTAATCATGGAGTATCTAGATTCTGTAACCATGGAGTATCTAGATTCTGTAATCATGGAGTATCTAGATTCTGTAATCATGGAGTATCTAGATTCTGTAATCATGGAGTATCTAGATTCTGTAATCATGGAGTATCTAGATTCTGTAATCATGGAGTATCTAGATTCTGTGATTATGAGTATCTAGATTCTGTAATCATGGAGTATCTAGATTCTGTAATCATGGAGTATCTAGATTCTGTGATTATGAGTATCTAGATTCTGTAATCATGGAGTATCTAGATTCTGTAATCATGGAGTATCTAGATTCTGTAATCATGGAGTATCTAGATTCTGTGATTATGAGTATCTAGATTCTGTAATCATGGAGTATCTAGATTCTGTAATCATGGAGTATCTAGATTCTGTAATCATGGAGCATCTAGATTCTGTAATCATGGAGTATCTAGGTTATGAGTATCATTGTTTATCTTGATTCAGTAGCCATTGTTTATTTAAATCTTGTTATTATGAATTATCTAGAAATATCATCCATGTTGGCACAGTGATTATCTCAAACAAGAGATTTAGAGAAATATCATTTATTACTGCGACATGTTAAATATTATGAATTAAAAAAAACCCAGATGTTATAGATATTTGATTTAAGAAGACCATTAATTCTATACATGTTGAATGATACATGTTTTTAAAACTCAACAAAGGTGTTGCTCACCAATATTGTTCATAAAGCTTTTATCGTGTTAAGACTTCAACAAGCCTTGCTATTTCATCAATCTTAAACCAGCCATCTCCTTTGATCAACTTCAAATATTTCAAAGAAATCTGATAATGATATGATAATCAACTTGAGTTTTGTGTTGTGAACCTCTTACTGTTTTATTTAAAGGCATCTGCATACTTAAAACAAGGCAAATACAAACAGGCCGAAGCTTTGTATAAGGAGGTGCTTACCAGAGCACATGAAAAAGAGTTTGGTAAAGTTGATGGTAAGTAGACCTTTACGGAGATATGTTAACCTGCTTGTTATGATATTTGTCAGCAGTACTGAAGGGTGATACAAAGCAAAAGTAAAAACTATGGAAAGTTTACTTATATACAGTAAAAGAAGGCCTTATAGTAACTAGTTGGTAATCTGACACCCAAAATGGTATATTTTAAAGGACAAAGTCAAAATTTGGCTAATCTATGTTGATATTAGCTTGTAACTGATGGCTTTTGCTCTTTGCATGTGAAGTAAGAAATGTAGTTATCTCAATAAATTATGTAAGAAAATGAACAGTCTTACTAATGTATAATATTGTATTACAGGAGAGAACAAACCTATTTGGATGCAGGCTGAGGAGCGAGAAGAGAACAAGGTATACAAAAACTATGTGGCATGTCAACTGTGTGTTCCACCGCAGCATGCCAACTATATGTGTGACACCCAACAGGTTGACTCTGTGTGGCACCTGCTATCCAAGATCCAAATCATTAACCTTGTACAGGTGCTAGATATGCATTGACTTTAGTTACTGTTCAGGAAATGAGGGGTATATCATTAAAAAGAGATATGAGATATGCAAAATTCATCAATGCTGGTAAAGTAATCTTTCTCATAACTTAATCAGTCTTAATGAAACCCTAATTCTCAGTGGAGAAGGGCTGTTTGGTTGTTTCTTCAACGAGTTGATCAGTATGTCTACATATCAACTAAACATGGACATCCTTTATTGTCGCACCATGCTTGATTCGGGTATGCTTGGTACCGTGTGTTAAAGTAAATTTCATTAGAAATGAAAAATCAACCAAGCGTTAATTTGTATACTGTGTTGTGTCATCCCATCCAAATAGCATTTGCAAAGTAGATTTCCATTGTTGTGATGTGACCAGAATAAACTAGGTTCTGATTATAATTCTCTAAAATTAATGGGAAATTAAAAGTAGCCAGTTATTTCTGTGTATGGAGAGACAGGTTTTATATTAGTGGGAAATTGAAAGTAACCAGTTATTTCTGTGTATGGAGAGACAGGTTTTATATTAGTGGGAAATTGAAAGTAACCAGTTATTTCTGTGTATGGAGAGACAGGTTTTATATTAGTGGGAAATTGAAAGTAACCAGTTATTTCTGTGTATGGAGAGACAGGTTTTATATTAGTGGGAAATTGAAAGTAACCAGTTATTTCTGTGTATGGAGAGACAGGTTTTATATTAGTGGGAAATTGAAAGTAGCCAGTTATTTCTGTGTATGGAGAGACAGGTTTTATATTAGTGGGAAATTGAAAGTAGCTAGTTATTTCTGTGTATGGAGAGACAGGTTTTATATTAGTGGGAAATTGAAAGTAACCAGTTATTTCTGTGTATGGAGAGACAGGTTTTATATTAGTGGGAAATTGAAAGTAACCAGTTATTTCTGTGTATGGAGAGACAGGTTTTATATTAGTGGGAAATTGAAAGTAGCCAGTTATTTCTGTGTATGGAGAGACAGGTTTTATATTAGTGGGAAATTGAAAGTAACCAGTTATTTCTGTGTATGGAGAGACAGGTTTTATATTAGTGGGAAATTGAAAGTAACCAGTTATTTCTGTGTATGGAGAGACAGGTTTTATATTAGTGGGAAATTGAAAGTAACCAGTTATTTCTGTGTATGGAGAGACAGGTTTTATATTAGTGGGAAATTGAAAGTAACCAGTTATTTCTGTGTATGGAGAGACAGGTTTTATATCAGTGGGAAATTGAAAGTAACCAGTTATTTCTGTGTATGGAGAGACAGGTTTTATATTAGTGGGAAATTGAAAGTAACCAGTTATTTCTGTGTATGGAGAGACAGGTTTTATATTAGTGGGAAATTGAAAGTAACCAGTTATTTCTGTGTATGGAGAGACAGGTTTTATATTAGTGGGAAATTGAAAGTAACCAGTTATTTCTGTGTATGGAGAGACAGGTTTTATATTAGTGGGAAATTGAAAGTAACCAGTTATTTCTGTGTATGGAGAGACAGGTTTTATATTAGTGGGAAATTGAAAGTAGCCAGTTATTTCTGTGTATGGAGAGACAGGTTTTATATTAGTGGGAAATTGAAAGTAACCAGTTATTTCTGTGTATGGAGAGACAGGTTTTATATTAGTGGGAAATTGAAAGTAGCCAGTTATTTCTGTGTATGGAGAGACAGGTTTTATACAATATATTGGAAATTAAAGGTAAATAGTTATATTTGAGCATGGAGAGACAGGTTTTCTGCAATATATTGGAAATTAAAGGTAAACAGTTATATTTGTGCATGGAGAGACAGGTTTTCTACAATATATTAGAAATTAAAGGTAAACAGTTATATTTGAGCATGGAGAGACAGGTTTTCTACAATATATTGGAAATTAAAAGTTACCAGTGTTATAGCATTAGTTGTGCTGGTTCATGCCTTGTGTAATGATAGTGAAATTTCTTTTACCAGGTAAAAAAGGTAGGTGCTGGGATACCAGTTGTTGGTACTTATAGAAACATGCTTGGCATCTATATTACTGCAAGGAACATCTTGCATTCCCAAACTTGTCTGTCGAGCTGCCTTTCATCCTTTCTCCAATTTGGAATGTTTTCAACTTACCTTTATGTATGAATCTCCTATTCAATTCTTACTTCCCAACTTCAAAATAGTATATTAAAAAAAGAGTTGGTGCTTAGAAATTCTGTTAAACAAGATTACAGTTTCCTATATAAAATCTGTGTCCTGTAGTGATACTGTTGTACCATATCCAGTCTTTTATAATATCATGTTGACTAGATATGTATTTCCCTTCTGTGTATCCTGAAAAAGTGAGGTGGAGTTTAAAAGTTTCAACATATCAAAATGAAATCATCAGATTAAAACATTCAGAACAATTAGATCACCACTCACTGGCTTTGTAAAGAGGCATAAGGCATTGCTCTCTGCCTCTGACTATATAGAGTTAAGGCCCTTTGTTCACTTTGTGTAATTTCATCCAATACATACATGTTTTAACACATCATCTACCACTACCAAATGGATTGATGGAGTCTTACATTCAGTGTACTGAAGGCCTTTTGTTCAGTTTGTGTCATTTGATCCAATACAAATCATTTAAACCATGTCCTGTAACAATGTCAAACATTATATGTAAATATTTTAGAATGGTGAGTATTTCATGCTCTGATTCCCTGTCCTACTGCTGGTACATATCTGTATACCTATACTAGAGAGTTATGGCTCTGTGATGAGTTTTCGTATGACTTAGTCTAGATGTAGGGTATTATGGAGTGCTTGCAGTTCTTGTTATATATATATACCTTGCCTTTCACCTGTTTAAGTAAACAGTCTTAGCATGACCCCTGTATTAACACTTCAGATCCTTAATTGACCTCACTAACCAATTTACTGACACTGAGACTGAAGTTTGTACTGTCACTGATAGGCTATAGTGTTGGTTCAATAAAATAGGTTTTAACCTGGGCAATATAAACAAGGCTGTACCGGTATGAGACACAGTTACAAATTATACATTCCTATGTAGTGTGCACAGTTTTTTTATTTTTCAGAAAATAAATATCCAAAGTTTGGGGTGCTCATATTACATAGCTATAGGATTTTCCAGCTTTTTTTTTCATCGAAAAATCAAAGATTCTGTGCAGCTGCCAACATTGATTGTCGGTAATATCTGTTACTCAAAACTGACAAACGGGATTTGACAATTTGGTTATGAACAACAATGATAAATAAGATAATTAATGTATATATTATATCAGAGTCAACATCATGCAAAATTGGGATGAAATGTTTTTAAGCATAATAGCAACTAGCAAGGCAAAACTAGAGATCAGCAAAGACAGTGCCTTGTTCGTGACATAGAAAAATATGTCTCTTACAATATAATTATATTTTGAAACACTTGCATGTTCAGCTCTTAAGAAATTGACAGGTTTCATTTAATTCTCCTTCTAGTCTGATATCACGACAAACCAAAAGCTGTGAGCATATGGTTTGTTTTCATGTATAATGACAGATGTCGTTAACATATATGTATGCGGAGTGTCGATTGAGCCTTATCATTGGACTATGGATTTAATTCAATACTTATTAAAAATCTTAAATTTTAATACTTATTAAAAATCTTAATGATGTTTAAGAATATTAGCTATACATCAAATAATAACAAAGGAATAAATTTGACAATTTTACCAAAATGTGTAATGGTACACCTTTCTTCATTTGACAATATACATATGCATGCCTACAGTACATTCAGTGCATTTCCATTCGGTGCTCCATGTACCGATTGTTTGCATATACAGAGTGTGGGCCTCAACTTCGGTCAGCTTGTAACAGGGAGACATGAAAGAAAACTTCACTTGCGGAGATCATATTTACCTGAATTGGTCAATAATAGGTAGATAATGACTTGTATCTCTGAACACAGTTGATTAGGCCTAATGTGAAGACAAGTGTTTGAGTAATTAAGATTAATAAATCTCTCTTTATTGGAATCAAAGTGATTCCTTAGAGGCATAGCTGATACCTATCGGTGGTTAAAAGAATAATCTATTGATTCCATGTTTCAGGGTAAATACAAAGATGGGACCCCAATGCCTGAATATGGAGGCTGGCATAAAGCTGCTAAAGTAGACAGGTAAGAATACAGAGACTAGCATAAAACTGCTAAAATAGACAGGTAAGAATACAGGCTGGCATAAAGCTGCTAAAGGAGACCGGTACGAATACAGGCTGGCATAAAGCTGTTAAAATAGACAGGTACGAATACAGACTGGCATAAAACTGATAAAATAGACAGGTAAGAATACAGGCTGGCATAAAGCTGCTAAAATAGACAGGTACGAATACAGAGACTAGCATAAAGCTGCTAAAATAGACAGGTAAGAATACAGAGACTAGCATAAAGCTGCTAAAGTAGACAGGTAAGAATACAGAGACTGGCATAAAGCTGCTAAAATAGACAGGTACGAATACAGAGACTGGCATAAAGCTGCTAAAATAGACAGGTAAGAATACAGAGACTGGCATAAAGCTGCTAAAGTAGACGGGTAAGAATACAGAGACTAGCATAAAGCTGCTAAAATAGACAGGTAAGAATACAAAGGCAGGATTAAAACTGGTGAAATAGAAAAATGAAAATAATGAGTTAGGCTTAGATAGATAAGAACACATACTTTTGTGAATTTAGTGTTATGGCAAAAGTTTCTAGGTTGAGGATTCCCTTATACATGCTTAGATACATATTGAATGAACTAAAACATGTCTTAAACTTTCTCATTAACCATATTTTATTGAAAGGTACAGCTAGCTAAAAACCAATTCATAATTTGACCATTTAGGTATACTTTGAAATAAAAGTATTAAGATGTAACTACAGCTGAGATAAGTGATTTACGAACATTCTTTTCCACAGCCCCACAGTGACGACAACCTTGAAGAACCTTGGTGCACTTTATAGAAGACAAGGAAAGTATGAGGCCGCGGAGACACTAGAGGAGTGTGCCATGAGGTCCAAGAGAAATGTGAGTGTTTTATTGTTGCATGCTATACTCTTCAAACTGGCTATATACCCCAACCTTTCATACTTGGACAATCCAACAACTGGAAGTCACATCAGCCAAGTAATTGGAAGGGTTTTGATCTTGCATATTTTAAGGTTTCTCAACATTAAATAATGTTGTGAGCTGTATAGAGGGAAAATACTGACAAATATTTTAAAAACTTATTCGGAAATTCCTTATTTCATCAGAATATCTTTGTTTTGTCTATATAGTTCATTAAGTGTGGATGTGACTTCCATTAGGTGTACAATTTAGCGTAGACCTATTTTGTAGTTAATAAAGAACCACAGGTGAGAGACTTTATTTTAACCTGTATGGTCCTAACAGGACTCCATTATCCTGTCGCCGGTGCCCCTACAGCGGGCCCTGGACAAACACAGCTATGTAAGTACTGTAGACAATGACATGCTAACTGCCTGTGTGCAGACTCGCGTGTCTTACTGCAGCCGGGATACAAAATCACCAGGAAGGCTGCGGGTCTGGTAGCTAATAGCTTTGGATTTGTGTGGCTAACTATAACAGCAGGCATTGTAGGATCACTGCTTGTAGGAGGGTTTCTGTACAGCTGTCACTCCTCCTAGATATTGGGTGGTATTCACCCTCAAGTCCATTATTGTTTATAAATATGTGACAAGGCAAGGCAAGGCTGAGCAAGTGAAACAGAAGCAACTTCACCAGTAAGGAATGAATTCTCAGTCGGGACGTTTTCCTTTCAAAATCAGTTACATTTAAAACACTAGTTCAGTATATTCATTATTATATTTGTGTATGCCATTTATCCTATGTATCAACATATATAATTCCCCCAAAGATTTTTTTTAGTTGAAATTTTTACGTTACTTCTGTACGTTTTTGCCCCTGTCTGGCTTTGACGCGGCTTGTTTTGGTTTTACGCTAGGCTCTGGATGTAGTTAAACAGACCAAAATTGCCGAAGTTCTAGGCAGTGACTATAAGGAACACCCACCAAACAATCAGATCCAGGGGTATAGACGACGCTCTAACAGCAGGGACCGAATTCCCCGTCGGGACCCCGTGGATAGCATTGATAATGGTGATGGTGAAGATGTGAGTATAGGTCTCTGATGGTCAGGGAGGGGCTCCAAGTAGGGCCATTTATCAAGTAATTCACAGCCAGTGTCCTTTGTGAAATAGGCCTCCAACACGATGAATTCTTAAAAAAAAAATTCACTACTAAATGCTTGAACAAAATAAATAAAATTATACTAATAATGTAACATGCATGATTGAACGTATTGGCATTGGGACTTCAGATATGTTTCTCCTTTTGTTAACATGGTTGTATTTAAATATGAAATGGAAATTAGAAAAGTTGGATCTATTTCCCATTTATTTCACAAATAAATCTACAAAACATCAGTAATAAAGTGAGGGCTGTTACATATCTAAACTCCATCTGTAGGCTTATTCCCATCTTTGTCTATTCCTGTGCTTTCCTTGGAATGATATCTTGGTAGTAGGAATACCTCCATTTCTAGCTGACCCTAACTTTTCTTTGCTTGACCAGATGCCCATTAGTTGCATTTACACGAAAAGAAACCTTGAAGTTCCCATAGCTTGATTGGCAGCATGTTTTTTTTCTCTAACATAATATTGTGTGGGATATTTTGGTATTGACATTTTTCTCTGAAAACTTTTACAGATCATGGTATTTTTCCTTTGATTTCCTTCAGTCATTTTGAATATCAGATTTGATCATTTGTGGGTAGTGATTAAGATACATGGAGATATATATATATATATGTAAAATTTATGATATGCACAAGAAGTAACAATACCAAAGTTCTGTTAACTAATTGATATAGACTGTTTAAATGAAAATCTATGCAACACACAAAGCTTTAGATTTGCACAATGCTGGGCGATACTCATTTTGATTACAACTTAGTAACAAAGCATGCTTTTGATTGGGATTTGGGATTGGCATGAAGAACAATTACATAACCAATTTCCTACTGCTATTTCTTCAGTCTAAATAATTGCTTGCTGTTTCAAAGATAAAACCAAATTGATTGTTTTGATTAGTGATAGACATACTTCGGGTGAACATGGCTGTGTATTACTTGCCTCCATCTGACCTAGAGCCAAACACTGTTTTGACTGACCTGCTTTGATGTCCTATAGACAGACCCAATTTTTGCACTTCCAATCTGAACCCCGTACCTGTCACTTTAGCTTACCTGCCTCACAACCCCATTCTTACTAAGCACTTTGTAAACTAGGACAAGATTACCATCAGCATAACCTTAACAGACTCCACACATTTAGGCTGCCAATAAACATTTACCAATATGACGGTGGCATTCCGCAACATAAACATAGAATTCACTTCTCAATGAAATAGTTACAACCATCTTTGATAAGATGGATGGAAATTTGTTCAGTACGCTGTTAACCTCTTGTGTAGAGCTTTACAAGATTGTTTGAAATTGTCTTTTTCTAAGACCAATAAAATTGGCTGTAATATTTTCACACTAGTAAATTGATGGATAGTTTGTTCAATAAATATGGGTGATAGTTTTGGAACTAGTTGTAAATTTGAAGCATAATGCTGATGGTAGTCTAGTATGATGTTGTCATGTCTCTGTAATTTTTCCTGTAAAAAAAGTAGAGAATGTTTTCTATAGTGGGTGTGGTCATACCTATATAGTTGAGCACTAATAACTGCAGGCTTTCTTGCATGACCATCCAGTTCTCTGAATCATCAGTGTTGTTGGTCTATGTAGCTCTAATGGATTGTTGTAACTCGCTATGTGCTTATAAGTTCACAAATCTCTACACTTCTCCTTATATGCCATGTATAAGTTCTAATATTTTTGTTTTATTTCTGTTTCGATTTTCGAACGGCATCCTTCACTTTGATGTAAGTTTCAATTTTTTTTCCTTTTTACTTTCCAAACTGCCACCAAGACTTCAATAACCATTTGATATCCTGTTTATCTTGCCTTGGGAGTTCTGCTAAATTTTGAAACTGCAATACAAATTTTCTTAGTGATTAGCTGAAAATTTGAAAATTGTTGATATTATTGCAGACTGAGTGATGACCTGGGAAAGATCTACTTAGTCATAAGAAATGTTTAAACAGGTTGTACAAATTGTTAGAGTGGCCTTGGGAGCAGTGTTGTATTTTTATCGCCTTCCGATAAAAGATTTATTTTTATTTTAATAAATCTTCAATAAAATCTGGTAAAAATGTAATTTAAAAGAATGAGGAAAATCCAAAGCTGTAAAGAGTCAGTAGAATGTTGCCTGTCCTTGCTAGTGGGTTCTCATGCCATTTCTGTAAAACTCACCTGTTTGAAATTTCCTCTCAAGGGGAAATTAAAGCGCAGTGGCTCATTTTCCAAACTGAGAGCTTCCATAAGACGAAGCAGTGCCAAATTGGTGCAGAAATTGAAAGGAAAAGGTCCAGGGGAAGAAAATTCTGGAAGGTAAGCGACTTTGTTACCACTTCCCGAGGAAGTGCATTCTCACCTTGTGGGTGTCATTGCAAACCTGGGTCGCAGAAACGTCTCTTGGTGTTAGAACTTTGCCTAGCCTTGCCTTGCTTATATTGTAGGTAATGTGTTGATATACATATATTGTATGACAGTTTGTATACAGCAGGACATCTTGTGACCTGTATATTTTACTGTACAAGAATTTGTGGGTATGGGATATTACTGAGCATAACCTGCTTGATTTACACCAGGCATTACTTTGTACCATTATAAGTAATCCTGATACATAAACTGTATGCTAATTAAATCAGAACTGTTACATCCAGTATCAAGATTTGTTGTGGTTTGGAGTGATGAATCATTGACTCTCATTTCTGATTTGAAAATAACCATATTTATCCTGTAATTAGTCCTAGGGGCAGCTGATTATCTCTTTCTCAAAGGACATGGATGTAGTGTTACATGTCTCCCTCGAGTGAGCAACACAGATTGTTTCTGTTCCTGTTCTATTAATATCTCGCGCAAGAAATAAGATTAAAACATTAAAACAAAGATATTTTTAATGAAAGTTGCTGTACTTCATTATTATCCAAGGTCCAATGTCAAACAAGTGTGAATTTTTCAATAAATTCTTGTCCAGGAAATAACATTTAAACTAAGATATCTAAATGAAAGTTGGTGTACACTTTTATCACCTAAAGCTGATGTGATGACCTGGACATCAAGGTTAAAGGCCAGAAAATCATTACCAAACTTGGAACACACTCCAGCCGAAGTGTTGGCCTTTTCTTTTTTCTTTTTTTTTTTTTTTTTTAGAAATTTCAGTAACAGTGCAATGTTCTGTTGATACACGATTATTGCAAGAGAAGTCAAAATAGCTAACCATCAGATACATACAAAATGTCATGAATATTCAATTTTCTGCTTGTTCTTAGTGTTGTGATTTTTTTTTATATTATTAACCAATTGCGATGAAGAACTTATACTGTACATATTCACATGATTACTATATTCAGTATATATATACTTGTCTATACCATAACTGCCAAAGCATTACACACAATGTCAAATAAAATCAATGATCGACAACACTAAATTTTCTCTTACACACACATCCTACAACAAAAGCAGTAAATATACCACATAGACATGTCTCACCACACTGAATCTGGTGTTTCTGCTGAAACTTTAGAATGGAAAAGGTTTATTACCAGCCAAGGACTTTTTACTGAAAAAATACATTATTTATGCATCTCTGCATGAGACTTTGGTTTCACAAATTACCAGACATGAACTTATTATCGGAGAAATATAGTACACTTGTATTCAAATTTCACGCCTGGAAACTTGGTTTCACAAATTACAACGAGGGAATATATCACTAGTACCAACATACCAGCTGAACAAGAGTCATGAGATTTAGGTTTGATTTCATTTTATATAATTTTCATTATCTTTCTGATCCTTGATAGTGAATTGAAATAATTTATCGTAGAAATGTATAATTTAATGTGTTAATATAAATGCTACTATATACATAACACATTGTGAAATGTTTCATACAAAACAGCCAGATGTTTCACAACATCAATACTAGCAAGGCAAGGAGCTAATTATTTCTCTCCTTAATTTCTTGTCTTACTTTTTTCCTTACTTTGATATTTGATTCCTGTTTGTTTGGATCTTGTCTCCTTATTTTGCTTGCTTTTTCTACATTTTTTTTGCCACTACAGTTGGTTTGACACACCCATTCCCCATTACTGGAATCCATCCGGGTCAAGGTTTGTGTCCTGTCTAATACTCCTGTACAGACGAATCAATTTACCATTATCAACCCACAATCAGACTCGTCAAGTTATATACTCTGACATCCATCCACAATCAGACTCACCAAATTACCATTATCCTGCCACAATCAGACTCACCAAATTACCATTATCCTGCCACAATCAGACTTGCCAAATTACTATTATCCTGCCACAATCAAACCTACCAAATTACCATCATCCTGCCACAATTAGACTCGCCAAATTACCATTATCCTGCCACAATCAGACTCACCAAATTACCATTATCCTGCCACAATCAGACTCACCAAATTACCATTATCCTGCCACAAACAGACTTGCTAAATTACTATTATCCTGCCACAATCAGACTCACCAAATTACCATCATCCTGCCACAATCAGACTCACCAAATTACCATTATCCTGCCACAATTAGACTCACCAAATTACCATTATCCTGCCACAATCAGACTCACCAAATTACCATTATCCTGCCACAATCAGACTCACCAAATTACCATTATCCTGCCACAATCAGACTCACCAAATTACCATTATCCTGCCACAATCAGACTCACCAAATTACCATTATCCTGCCACAATCAGACTTGCCAAATTACTATTATCCTGCCACAATCAAACCTACCAAATTACCATCATCCTGCCACAATTAGACTCGCCAAATTACCATTATCCTGCCACAATCAGACTTGCTAAATTACTATTATCCTGCCACAATCAGAATCACCAAATTACCATTATCCTGCCACAATCAGACTCACCAAATTACCATTATCCTGCCACAATCAGACTCACCAAATTACCATTATCCTGCCACAATCAGACTCACCAAATTACCATTATCCTGCCACAATCAGACTCACCAAATTACCATTATCCTGCCACAATCAGACTCACCAAATTACCATTATCCTGCCACAATCAGACTCACCAAATTACCATTATCCTGCTACAATTAGACTCACCAAATTACCATTATCCTGCCACAATCAGACTCACCAAAATACCATTATCCTGCCACAATTAGACTCACCAAATTACCATTATCCTGCCACAATCAGACTCGCAAGATAGTCATTGAATATGTATTATCTTATCAGTACATACAATTAGATTTCTAAATAAACATTATTCCAACAATCAAATTTGTCTCATTAATATAATCTTTCCTCGCAGACCTCATGTATTCGGGCTATTTTTTGACAATGATGCTGTAAACTTATACTTTGAAAATCAAGTTCCTGTAAGATTAACAAATTATCTCCCCTCTCTACTTAGACTTAAAGCAAATATGTGACGATAAAAAGGCAAATGGGGGTAAACACAAAACAAAGGAGCAAAAACATAATGGCTAGATTAATGTTGCTCTCTTGCTTCGTTGTTCTTAGATCATTTGTTCGTGTTTTGGTTGAAGAAGTAAAAATTAGACTGTATTTTTGTTCCTTCACTCGCTCTCCATTCTGTAATCATAAAGAGATACCACAAGTTGATATTCATCCTTGTTGTCAACAAGAAAAAAAAAACCACTTAAAATGTATAATGCTGATAAAAGGTTGTAATTACATGGTGAAATGTGAACAGTATTGTATACTTTGAGACTGAAATATTTTTGATGACAAAATGGAGTGTCCATTGCTGTTGGAGGAAATATTTACCCTTAACAAGAAAGGCAGTATAGTGAATGTACAGTATCTACTGCACTGGGGGAAGTATTTACCACAGACAGGAAAGGCTGTATAGTATTATATGGTGTCTGCAGGGGAGATATTTACCACAGACAGGAAAGGCTGTATAGTATTATACGGTGTCTGCAGGGGAGATATTTAATAAAGACAGTAAAGGCTGTGTAATGTACATTGTCTGTAGGGAAGATATTTACCACAGACAGGAAAGGCTGTATAATGTACAGTGTCTGTATGGGAGATATTTACCACAGACAGGAAAGGCTGTATAATGTAGAGTGTCTGTAGGGGAGATATTTACCACAGACAGGAAAGGCTGTATAGTATTATACAGTGTCTGTAGGGGAGATATTTACCACAGACAGGAAAGGCTGTATAGTATTATACAGTGTCTGTAGGGGAGATATTTACTACAGACACGAAAGGCTGTGTAATGTAGAGTGTCTGTAGGGAAGATATTTACCACAGACAGGAAAGGCTGTATAGTATTATACAGTGTCTGTAGGGGAGATATTTACCACAGACAGGAAAGGCTGTATAGTATTATACAATGTCTGTAGGGGAGATATTTACAACAGACAGGAAAGGCTGTATAATGTAGAGTGTCTGTAGGGAAGATATTTACCACAGACAGGAAAGGCTGTATAGTATTATATAGTGTCTGTAGGAAGATATTTACCACAGACACGAAAGGCTGTGTAATATACTATGTGTGTAGGCGAGATATTTACCACAGACATGAGAGGCTGTATAATGTACAGTGTCTGTAGGGGAGATATTTACCACAGACAGGAAAGGCTGTATAGTATTATACAGTGTCTGTATGGGAGATATTTACCACAGACAGGAAAGGCTGTATAGTATTATACAGTGTCTGTAGGGAGATATTTACCACAGACATGAAAAGCTGTATAGTATTATACAGTGTCTGTAGGGAAGATATTTACCACAGACATGAAAGGCTGTATAATGTACAGTGTCTGTAGGGAAGATATTTACCACAGACAGGAAAGGCTGTATAGTATTATACAGTGTCTGTAGGGAAGATATTTACCACAGACAGGAAAGGCTGTATAATGTACAGTGTCTGTAGGGAAGATATTTACCACAGACAGGAAAGGCTGTATAGTATTATATAGTGTCTGTAGGAAGATATTTACCACAGACAGGAAAGGCTGTATAGTATTATACAGTGTCTGTAGGGAGATATTTACCACAGACAGGAAAGGCTGTATAGTATTATACAATGTCTGTAGGGGAGATATTTACCACAGACATGAAAAGCTGTGTAATGTAGAGTGTCTGTGGGGAAGATATTTACCACAGACATGAAAAGCTGTGTAATGTAGAGTGTCTGTGGGGAAGATATTTACCACAGACATGAAAGGCTGTATAATGTAGAGTGTCTGTAGGGAAGATATTTACCACAGACATGAAAGGCTGTATAATGTACAGTGTCTGTATGGGAGATATTTACCACAGACAGGAAAGGCTGTATAGTATTATACAGTGTCTGTAGGGAGATATTTACCACAGACATGAAAGGCTGTGTAATGTACAGTGTCTCTAGGGGAGAAATTTACCACAGACAGGAAAGGCTGTATAGTATTATACAGTGTCTGTAGGGGAGATATTTACCACAGACACGAAAGGCTGTGTAATGTAGAGTGTCTGTAGGGGAGATATTTACCACAGACAGGAAAGGCTGTATAGTATTATACAGTGTCTGTAGGGGAGGTAGGGGAGATATTTACCACAGACAGGAAAGGCTGTATAGTATTATACAGTGTCTGTAGGGGAGATATTTACCACAGACACGAAAGGCTGTGTAATGTAGAGTGTCTGTAGGGGAGATATTTACCACAGACAGGAAAGGCTGTATAGTATTATACAGTGTCTGTAGGGGAGATATTTACCACAGACACGAAAGGCTGTGTAATGTAGAGTGTCTGTAGGGACGATATTTACCACAGACAGGAAAGGCTGTATAATGTAGAGTGTCTGTAGGGGAGATATTTACCACAGACACGAAAGGCTGTATAATGTAGAGTGTCTGTAGGGGAGATATTTACCACAGACAGGAAAGACTGTATAATGTAGAGTGTCTGTAGGGGAGATATTTACCACAGACAGGAAAGGCTGTATAATGTAGAGTGTCTGTATAGATATTATACAACACGAAAGTCTGTATAATGTAGAGTGTCTGTAGGGGAGATATTTACCACAGACAGGAAAGGCTGTATAATGTAGAGTGTCTGTAGGGGAGATATTTACCACAGACACGAAAGGCTGTATAATGTAGAGTGTCTGTAGGGGAGATATTTACCACAGACACGAAAGGCTGTATAATGTAGAGTGTCTGTAGGGGAGATATTTACCACAGACACGAAAGGCTGTATAATGTAGAGTGTCTGTAGGGGAGATATTTACCACAGACAGGAAAGACTGTATAATGTAGAGTGTCTGTAGGGGAGATATTTACCAAAGACACGAAAGGCTGTATAATGTAGAGTGTCTGGAGGGAAGATATTTACCACAGACAGGAAAGGCTGTATAGTATTATACAGTGTCTGTAGGGGAGATATTTACCACAGACAGGAAAGGCTGTATAGTATTATACAGTGTCTGTAGGGGAGATATTTACCAAAGACACGAAAGGCTGTGTAATGTAGAGTGTCTGTATGGGAGATATTTACCACAGACATGAAAAGCTGTGTAATGTAGAGTGTCTGTGGGGAAGATATTTACCACAGACAGGAAAGACTTCATTTGAGGTCATCATGCCACCATGTAAAAAGTCATTACTGCTTGTTTCATGTATTTCATACTGCTACCATTATCATAATGTGCACCCCAGATCATCATATTAGTGTATCGTTTTTCTTGTTAACTGTGGATAATGAACAGTTTTATGAAGATATTTTTATTGGTGAGAGTATTACTGATACAGTGATAGCTCTATTTTTTGTACTGTTGATATAAACATGTTAATATTGTTGTATAGTATTGTATGGAAGGATAAATATATATCAGAATGCAAAGAATTGTTTCATCATGAAAAATTCAAGATTTTTAAAAAGCAAATTGTGCTTACTGATTATTTGAAAACAATGCACTCCGGCTAGGTTACATCATTTTGTGTAATGTTCACACAAACATGCTGTACTTTTTTATTCTTATATTTTTTAGTATGAAAAGGGCAAGCTCCTTGTCGGTTCTCAACAGCTTAAACAGTAGAGAAGATAAACTGAGCGTAAGTATGTGTTCCTGGTATGAGTATGTGTTCCTGGTATGAGTATGTGTTCTTGGTATGAGTATGTGTTCCTGGTATGAGTATATGTTCCTGGTATAAGTATATGTTCCTTGTATGTGTTCCTGTGTTCCTGGTATAAGTATGTATTTCTGGTATTCCTGGTATAAGTATGTGTTCCTTATGTTCCTGGTATAAGTATGTGTTCTCGGTATAAGTATGTGTTCCTGGTATAAGTATGTGTTCTTGGTATAAGTATGTGTTCCTGGTATAAGTATGTGTTCTTGGTATAAGTATGTGTTCCTGGTATAAGTATGTGTCCCTGTGTTCCTTGTATAAGTATGTGTTCCTTGTATAAGTATGTGTTCCTGGTATAAGTGTGTGTTTCTTGTATAAGTATGTGTTCCTTGTATAAGTATGTGTTTCTTGTATAAGTATGTGCTCCTGGTGTAAGTATGTATTCCTCGACAGCTGTGTACAAGGTAAATCTATGTGATTTGTTTCAATGTCACAGCATAACGGATCCTGTCAAATTCTAAGAGATCAACATCTTACATTGTAGCTTAGATATGCAGATGCCCGAAGTGGGATTTTCTTGACTAGATAATGACAGTGGTGACTTTTGGTATCTGTCAGATGTTTCTATCCCTGTAATCAGCGTAAATTAAACTCCTCACCTAACAATTCTGTTATCAGTCTAATAACACCAGTACATATATTTTGTTATCATACATGTGTAACATGACCTGCAAAGCCATGATGAAGCTGTGATAGGTGATGGTTTCCATTATTTCCTTGTGACATACCAGATCAGTATAAAGATTGATGAAGTATCGATAGTCAGTTGTTCCTGTATATATAAATATGAAAGCATGTATGTTTTACAACTTGTTGGGGTTTTCAGTCTTCTAACTTCTGTACTAGCTGGACACAGAGAATTGACCACAACTATATATATATATAAATATATATGTCACACACTATTGATGTATGGATATCAGTAATTAAATACTTACTACTTGTTTACATGTTGTTACAGGAAAGTCGGCGTTCCTATGGAGACTTAAGTACGCGTGGACGGACAGCCAGCTCCGACCAGCTGACCAGTCGACCATTTTGATGTTAATTATTCTTAAACAACACTTAAAAACAATGTACATTGCATCCTCCATTTTATCATTGTCAACATCAAACGTGTCATCTTCATCACACACTCTGGTCTCATAGTTATTGTTGGCTTCAAGGCTTGCTGTTTTGTGGCCATCGCAGTTGTCTTCTCTTGCCGTGCTGTTTTTGTACCGATTTATCTGATGTATACTACTTGTCACACCCATCTGTGCACCAGTTTTTACAGTGTATTCTTACTTGGTGGTCATCACATTACAATGTAAAACATTGTATAGCAATAGTGATATAACTACTGTAGAAAAAATACAATGTATTTATTATAGCAAATAACTATCTATATCATACTGACTTTGTACTACAGCACATCTCTATCACATTATCACCTGTCCTCTGGGTGCTTAGTATTATATTATTGTTTCCTAAAGTGGTATTACAATGTCTTACATGAGTATTAATGTAACTGTATAGCAGGGTGGGGGATGTATAGGATAACTAACCTATTATAACAGTGTCTATGTCATAGTAGACATGGGCCTGTCTACATTTAGAGCTCAACACTGAGGTGTGATGGCAGTTCAGTCTACACAAGGAATGAAATATTTTCGGAAATGCTATACTGATTTTTATAAACAGTGAATTAACAGAAACAAAACAAAATGTTGAAAAAAGAACATTCCAAACTTGATTTGTAAACATTGGTGTGCATGTTCAAATGGTTGGAATCCATCACAGGAAACTCTACAATGCTGGATGATAAGTTTGTTATATGCTCTTTGGTTCTAGCACATTCTATACCATCTTGTTGAACTTGAGTACGTAGGTACTTCATTATGGTGAATAGGGAAAGGTGTCTTTTTCTACTTAATTTTTCACCTAACAGCACAGTAACCTTTCCTCAGTACTTACATAAACGTGTCCTGACTGTCTAAAACTTTTAATATTTCTTAAATGATTTTTTTCTGATAAATTGTCCTTTGATTGGTATGGTATTGCGTTCTGATGCTTTGACTTTATCCAAAGATTGGTGAAGTGGAAAGGTTTGGTCAAATTTAGCATACTGCTGGTATCAACCTCTGGTCATTTAGACCCTGTTAGGACACAGGTGAGATGTGGAGGAAAGGTCACTGGGTATAATATATTTGCCAACTCTTTTGTCAAACATAGAGAAAGTAAACCAAATACAGAGTTGATAGACATCCCTGTAATGTTAACCACGGATGCACAGTCTGATTGGTTTGTCTGAGAGTTGTGATGACTGCCTCATTTCATCTTCACATTAGTGCAATACAAGTGAAGCATAAGGCCCTTCAGGCTGTTTTAGTAGACTTGACAAGTTTGTCATGGATTTGTTGAGGTCTGTATAGTTTTATCATACATGCATTTATAATTAAGGTGTGCTACTTGCGTACCAACCAGGCTTCAGTTACATGTAAATTCTGAACCTCATACAGTATAATAACGGTGTGCTACTTGTAAGCCGACCAGCTATCAGTTAAGTTCTGAACCTGATACAGTATAATAACGGTGTGCTACTTGTGTACCAACCAGGCTTCAGTTACATGTAAGTTCTGAACCTCATACAGTATAATAACGGTGTGCTACTTGTAAGCAGACCAGCTTTCAGTTAGGTTCTGAAACTTGTACAGAAGTTGTTTTCAATTAAGTACTGTGTTATCTTTGAAGTATACAGACTGGCGTCCATCATCTGAAATTGACACTAGTGAAGTTTTAGGAAATTTAGGGCATTTAAATCATTGATTCCCTTGATACATTAAAATATTGCCAGAATTTTGTTTTTCACATATATACATGCATAAGTGTTGCTTTGAGTAGATTATTTGAGTCTCCATTGGTGGTTTCTCATGACAGTGATAAAACATAGAAAAAAACTTTTTTATTTTGGAAATGAAAAAGAGGGAGAGGACTGTTTATTTGTTGTCATGGAAACATAAGGTTTAAAAGTTGTTAGAGAAGATGAATGGATTATTATGGGGATTAGGTTCCAGCTTTAAGTGACAATTTTTACATTTTTTCCATGACATCATTTTATATCTGATGTTTGTACATGTTTATCTTCTGAAACTGTTCTCTGATGTTTAGTGCAGTTATGGCACTCTCATTCATGGTCACCATTTTCAGGATAGTATAGGGACAGAGAGGCTAAGTTTCGCTGGCTGTTCATGAATAGATAGGTGATAAAAGATATCAGTTGGAAAGGTTACATGAAGGGAGAAGTTGACTGCCCTAGTTAAACTACATTGTATTTCGTAGATAAGAGAAGTATTGAGACAAGTTCGGGATCAGAACACTTTCCTTCTCGATTTCATTACACACAGTAGTCCATGCTCAGGCTTAAGATCAGTTGTAAGTATGTGTGTAAGTCTGATTGTGTGAGTGAAAGGAGATATATATACAATTTAATGCAATTATAAACTTTGTGTATGTTTTGTTATGAAAGTTGTAACATACTTTAAAGTGCTGGTGATTTTTGTCATTGTGATAATAATAGTATTCCTTTTCAAGGATAGAACAAATTATAGAAACTATTCAGAATTCCTTGATGAAGAGAAAATGTTGATCGTTGCTTTGGTGTTGAATCATGTTATTATGTGTGGTGTATATTATTAAAACATGTCAATGATGTGCTTTGGAAATCTAAAGCAGTTGAAAGAGCTTCACAATAAAACCTGAAACGTGTATATCACCTCGCATTTTATTCATTTTTTTGTTGTTGTGGGATATTTTCGTTAATTATGTTCAGTTTTGATCTCGGCTTTAAATCTCGGTTTACTTCTTTAATCACCACTTGAAGCATGAATTACCGTCGCAACAAAAGAATAAAACCAAATGATCTGCTTGATCTACGTTGTCTTCTGGATGTCCCTGCTTTCTTTCTGATTTTCAAGGTAACAAATAAAGAAATCTTGGTACAGAATCTAGTTTCCAAGTGCTTTACATAAATGAACACAACATCTATGTGTATATATAGTTGTACAATGCATCTAATGCAATATGTGTGTAACTTACATGAAGTGGTTAAGTCCTATATGCAATATCACATATCTATAAATAACTTGTATGACAAATTTGCACCTAAAGATTTTAATAGCATCATCATACAAAACACTGTATATCAGAATAACACAGGTTAGATTATCAAAGTAGTTTCAAAAGGTGATGATGTATGTCTTGTGAAATATTTTATATCTAATAGAAGAAAAAAAATGGCATACATACACGCTGTGTGTGGTGTAATCATCAGTGGTAATGAGCCTTCACTGCATGTGAACTGATCTAGCTTCCCACAATACTTCCGTTTTTTATTTTTAGAACCGATCTGATTGGTTGTAAGCTTGTAAATACTACCACAGTTTTAATGGGTTGCTATTTTTTGTTGATGGTATGATTGAGTTGTTTGTAAGTTTCAGTTGCCGGCTTTCTACCTCTGTGTATTAATGAAAGGAATATAAACGAACAATTCTTATTCTAGCCAGTCTTTTTTGTCACCAACTGCCAATCATAGCTGTGTGTATGGTTGAATGGAAAACACACAATTCCATTGATTAATTTATTAAACTACATTTGGTCATATATATGTGTTTGTTTTTATTTTGGTGTTGGTAAATGAGAACCCTAAAACAGATCAGGTTTGTGAGAAGAAACACAAAACATGTGTATCTCCTCATCAACAGTTCTGGTGTCCTTAGCTATCTGATTTCACGTCTGGAAGCCTGTCCCATCAGGGCATCAGGGTCAAGTGTCTGGGCTTAGGACATAACCACAACAGTACAGAATAGTCCATTACTTAGCTTCCTGAGAAACAATGGTAAAGCTTCAACAATTACATGCATTAATGTAAGATCAGTGCTGTGATGATCCTGTTTTGACAAGACATCCTACTGTATCGGATACTGAAACATGACTAGAGATGGGATGTCCTGTTGTATCTGATAGTGAAACATGACTAGTGATGGAACGTCCTATTGTATCAGATACTTAAACATGACTAGTGATGGGACATCCTATTGTATCAGATACTTAAACATGACTAGTGATGGGACGTCCTATTGTATCAGATAGTGAAACATGACTAGTGATAGGACGTCCTGTTGTATCTGATACTGAAACATGACTAATGATGGGACGTACTGTTGTATCTGATACTGAAACATGACTAGTGATGGGACGTCCTGTTGTATCTGATACTGAAACATAACTAGTGATGGGACGTCCTGTTGTATCTGATACTGAAACATGACTAGAGATGGGACGTTCTGTTGTATCGGATACTGAAACATGACTAGTGATGGGACGTCCTGTTGTATCGGATACTGAAACATGACTAGAAATAGGACGTCCTGTTGTATCTGATAGTGAAACATGACAAGTAATGGGACGTTCCGTTGTATCCAATACTAAAACATGACTAGTGATGGGACATCTTGTTGAGTTCAGTTCAAACTAAGATATTCCTACCGATGAAGTATGATTTTTAGGCTAAACGTAATCGGTATGCATAGCCTATTGCGACGGCCTTTCAGACAAAATTTACCGATCCTGGCCTTCTCATTGGCTGAAATATTGAAAAGAGTTAGAGCCCTCTAGCGGCAATTTTCTACATAAATAATGCCGCGATTTTTCAAATCGCTATTTTAAAAGCATCCAAAATTAGTTTATTTTTTTTAATAACAATACGATTACTCTATGTATATATATACTCTATATATTTGGCGCCATGATAAGAAGCTAGTCTGGGGGCTTGGTTTGAATTATCAACTAACAGCACATATAAACAAACAAAACTTACAAACAGAACATCAATTTTGCTTTAATCCTCGTCGTTGTGGCTAGATCGTCATCACTTTACCTCATATATAACACACCCGCCGATCACTTTTTCTTCCACTGCCATGACACTTTTTCAAGTTTTTGAAGATCACAAATTTGGTGCTCATGATTTATGAATTATATATTTTTAATACAGTACTGACCATGATGTTGACTTTGTTATAACTTATATTTTTGTCTTTTAGTTTTATTTGATGAAGGTTGATTGTGCTGATTTCTCTATGTTTGTTAATGTGTATCAAAGTTCCTTGAAATGAAAATATTCCTTCAAACAACGCACGTATAAAAAAAAACCAAAATATTCATGTTTATAATTATCAATTAACTAAAACGAAATATTTTCATAACATATTTATTCATTTAGCGTGTCATGGTGACATTATCTAATGCATTGGAGATCAGAAATAGTAGTAGTTATAGTGAAAATATTGTAAATTTTGTATATATATGGATGTCAGGTTTAATGTAATAGAACTATGCTTTTATGGACATAATTACTGGAAGAAAATTTTAACCATGATACTTCAAGGAAGATAGGCATGTAAATACATTTAATGTAATTACTTACACTTTTATCTAACTGAAATGCTGTGTATACCTTATCTACTTTCCTCAATTACAAATATAATTATAATAAGTAAGGGCTTTTACTTTGCAATACATTCAAAATAAAGAAGTAGGTATAAAGTCCTTTCGATTTGTTTAACTCCTCATATTGATAGGATAGTAATTGCAACATCTTGGGTATTTCAAAGGTTTTATTTAGTAAACTACATCATAGAGCTATTTATCATTTGGCTTATTGGTGATAAATATGGTTGTGTGTATTTTGTTATTTTTTTTACCTATTTTGATTTATTCACATTATTGCCGTCAAATTTGAAATAAGAATTAAAGAAGATATAAAATCGCTTAAAATTAAGAAAAATAGCCTCTGGTTTTCTTATTTTAGTAATTTTTGCATTCCAAAGTGTAGGAGTATGGGGAAAGTAATATAGCTTAGCGGTTATTTGTGAACATTTTTCAATACGTTTAGCCTCTCAGTAATTTCAGTACTTTGATTAAGAATGTGTTCCATTTCCCCTATGGTATGGCAAACCAAAGTGGAAAATAGTCACTATGGATATCAATAATTTGTCTATGGATATTTACAAATGATTTATGGATACAAGAAAGTCCAGCGTAATTATGAATATCCATAAATCAAAGTATGGGTATTGTTTAAGGACATTCAAAAATTATTTATGGATATTGATGAATAAATATGGGTATGTATAAATAGGTTTACTTTTTTTCTCACTGGCTTGCCATAATTTGCTGTTTAACATTTAAATCATTTAATATGATGTATTTAAGCCCGTGTTAACCAGTGTATGCAAATTGTGTTTTCTTCTGTCCACTTTCAAAATATTGTGTTTTAATCACTTAAGGCTTGCAATGAGAATTGGTAGTATGTCTTGAATCGGGTAAAGAGTTGGTGTAGCCTTTTTTGTGTGGCCTTGCTATGAGGAGATAACTCTATTCCGGAAGTGTAATTTGTACAAAAATGGCGGGAGAAGGTGATAATACTGATATGGAGAACACCGAAGAAAATGCTGACGACACACCAAATCAAGACCCTGATTCTTTAGCTCAAGAATCCAATTCAAATGAACGAGCGGTCAAACTCCCGATGTCTAGAGTCAAGGCGATAATGAAGAGTGATCCCGACGTTTCTCTGGCCAGTTCGGAAGCTGTGGTGGCGTTGGCTAAAGCTACCGAAATGTTTATACAAATGTTGTCCAAGGATGCCATCACCAGTACCATGCAGAGTAAAAGGAAAACGCTACAGCGCAAAGATTTAGACACTGTGATAGATACCAGGGATTCCTATTCGTTTTTGGAAGGAACGTTGGACGGTCCTTGAGAAATATTGACATAATATGAACACTCACGTACCCAAACAAGAACATTTGTTGACAAACTAGTCCGTGTGTTTGGTATTCGTGTGCTGTTCGCAGTTGTATACGACTTCCAAACAGATATGTTAGACAGGAACGTGTCCGACAAACCTTCAGACTCGCGTAAATATGTGCATGATGAAGACCAGAACACAACCACGATAGCGACACGTTATAGGATAACCATGTCGCATGTAAATTGGATGTTTCAGTTTACAGGTGTAAGTTGTGTACAATACATTAGTTGATTGAATGTTCATGGGTGTTAAATAATGCTATAATTTGCATTGAAATGACCTCGTACTGAGACTATGACCACATTCAATTACAGAGGAAATTTGGTGTTCCAAGTTATAATGAAAGAGAACAATGATCAATTAAAATACTTATAATGTTCAGTAGAGTTGAGTTGACATCTCTTCATGTTTTGTAAAAATTGACAAATGAAGAAAGTATGTCATGAAGTGTAGAATTGTATGTAACAGGTTATTATCTATTTCATTGCCTCCATGATGTTCTGTTTAGCCGAGTGGTATATCGCAGCTAGTATTTACCAGGGTTACATGTATATTTGGAGAAATTATCACTCATCAGCAGTATCAATCAGCTCAAATTTTTTTTTTATTACTCGTGGTGGACAACTGTAATAATGGTGTAAAAAGGGGCGATCACTTTTATCCAGTTTCACATTATCTTTATTTGCATCTAGATTTAGTCAAAGACCCTACAATACAAAGAATAAAATACTTAAACACATGTATTTCCTACAGTGTTAAAAACATGAATTCTACTCCGAGTATCCTAGTAGACAGATACAATATTTAATGTATAATTTGAATTAACTCCACATATGTAAATCTTATTGAAACAATAGCTACCTACCCTGACAATGGGTCAAAGGTCCCTATGGTCTTATACCAATATTTTTCTGTCCGTACCCATGAAAGGGCTATTGTCCACTAAAAACCCTGCCAATGACAAACAAAGACCACCAAACAAGAACGAGACAATACCTGGACACACATATACATATAACTTTGCATAGGTAAACTGGACATGCATACACAACATATATACATGCACAAGTGGTTAAGAAGATGATGCGAAAAAAAAAAAAACGACGCGACGCATCAATAACGGCGACACAGAATTAATAAAAACGACCCTATTACAACTATGTCACTGTTTAGCATTACAGTGTATAGGGAGTAATCCTGATTAGCTTGGTTGTGCCTGTATAGTGTACATGCTGTAATTATAAATGGTTTATCTACAAATGTCATGATATTTTCCTCCAAAAAAAATACAAGCAAGTAATGGGACATTTCTTAAATATGTCTTGTTGAGTTTCTCCAATTTTAATTGGATGATTTAGAGAAGTTTGTCCAGAGACTTAAAGATAGCTTTAGTGTGGAAGGAGGAGAAGATGCACACATATTTATCCCTAACATGTGTTCCTTACTTTTTGTAATAAATAGTAAATAATTAAAATAAATTGCAGAAAAAAAGCATTTTCTCAGTATATCAAGATGAATTTGTATAAGCCCTCTTGTGTCTGTTGGACATTTTGACAGGTATTTTACAAATGGGACCTTTCACCTTTCAAATCCCCTTTTGGGGGATTGTGACATCATGCCATGGATACAGTTGTACTTGAAGATGCTTCGTAGCCAACAGGGTAATATACGTCGATAATTTGCCGATAAAGAGGTAATTATCAATACATATAGTATGGAAGTGATCGGCCAAGATTTAGTGTGAATTCATGGAAAAAATATACTAACAGATAAAACGACGCTATGGAGGAACAGTATAACTGCAACATTATTCGATACATGAAGTGTGATCGATGCCAGGACCTTTTCTGCATCAGATGTCTGGATTTTGACTCAAAGAAATATGACATCCTATTAAAATCAGATACAATGTGGTTTTGTCCACCATGCAGAATGACAGTCGAAAAGAATATTCTCAGGACAGAAAAATAGAAGAGAGGTGTAGGCAAATGTATATTTGCAGAACTTGAAAGAGAGGTAAAAGGGTTAATCTCTAAACTGGAAATGAACTTGAAATCTGAGAAATCAAAGCAAAGTCGAAATAGTTGCTGAAATTTTATTTTATTTGGATTACCCATCACAACGAAAAGAGACATTTGGACAACTAAAGTGTAGGAAATGTAATGTGTGTTAAAAAAGATAGGCCTAGAAAAATTATACGAATCCAGTTCCAGTGACATAACCAATAACAGCCGGCCTATTCTGGTTCGTTTTGAGTCGCAACAACCAAAGAAAGGAATCTTTAAAGATATCAGAAAAATAAGAAATCATAGTCAACAAATAAGAAACGACTTGACACATTGCGAAGCAGAAAGAAAACAATGAAACGAAGGATTATGTAACACATGCCTATTTCCTTCAGTATATAAAGTTTAATGTCATTTCAACTTGAAAATAGTGAAATGTTTTTGCGTCCATTATTTACTTATTGCTTACTTTACTTATTACTGTTACTTCACTGATATCAAGATAGTTTGTGGTTTGGTTTATAATGATACAAAATGGGAAAATACTCCAAAACACTGCTGGTAAATGTTTTATTCAAGTGGTGAACTATCAAAACTTGATAATACAACCCTTGTTTTCACTTTTAGTTCCCTCATTCATCATTGCAAGGGTGTAATTTTCTTATTCAACCAGCTCAAGGCTCAGTCTTTTCTCCATTGTCATCCAAAAGATTTATAGAATCAGAATATTTAACATCAAACACACTTTGGCAATTTAGATTTTTCCCCACAAACTGTTGGTAAGGGAAATTAAGGTCTTAAGTTTAATAATGTTTTGAAAAGATTTTTAGGTACATAGTATGTGTGACCATTTTAGCCACATGACAAGCTCCAGGTTAGGACCCCACAACCATGGAGTTGACTTGAATAAACTTGTCACTATACTAGGAAGACATACACTGAGGTAACCTGCTGGAATTCTTCACAGCTTCAGAGTTGTGGATTTTTAACAAAGAACTTGTGCTTAACTTTGATTCTTGTTCCTTGGTTATAGGTTTTCAGTCTCCTTGACTCCTTATTCTTGGCATTATCCGGTCCTTGATGGTCTTCAGATTTAGGAAGTATAATTTTGGTATGCCAGAAAGTGTCCTCAGCTCGGTGTTGGACCTTAACAGTGAGGAAAATCGGGTATAGTTGAAACTCGTTTTTTCTTCATATAAGAATATATCAGTATTGGAAGAAATTTGGCAGATAGCATTTTTGTTTTTAATTGCAACCAACTTAGCTTAAAAATACATCCTTTGACCAGAGGTAATTTTGACCTACTCGGGTATATTTCAATCAATGCAACCAACTTTTCTATAAATGTCAGAAAGTATTTACCAGTTAATTTAAGTGATACCAAATTTGTGACATTGATCAGTTAATTTCTTTGTAGCAGCTTTGCTTTGCTTGTGATATCAACACAATATGTTGATCTGTTTACCATTATAACTAGAGTACTTACATAAATCTGGAAGGGCCCGCATGTGTCAGACTCTAAACCAGTGTTATATTGATGGACACAATTTAACTGTGAAATAAAGATATTTCAGATATGGCCTTCATCACTGACCTGGTGACCTTGACTTGAAGTCGTGCAACTTCTCATTTAATTTCAGCAAATACTGCTCTATTGTGTCAGATGAAAAAATACTTACAACTTAAAAAATTCAAATTTGCCGTAAAATGTTTGTGAAATATTTCAACATTGACCAGATAAACTTAAATGTATTTGTTTGACTATTCATTTGATTTCGGTAAATAACACTTCATTTTGATAAATTAAATATCTGCCATAAATTATTTCAAATTTGACCTTTGCTTTAACCTGAAGTTGGACAACTTCTCATTTTACTAGATTCTGCTTCATTATGTCGTAAGTAATTTATTTATGTAAATTATGGTACTAGTAACATTCAACATTTCCATTTCAATCTATAATATTGGTGACCTTGACCTTTGAGAGCTAGCACTTCCTGTGAAGGAGCTATATGGAAAGTATGCAAGTGTGATGATCCAAACAAGACCAGAAATTTCTCCTATGCAAGGAAGCATTGGGTAAAATTTGAGTGCAATTGGCACAATAAAACAAAGTACAGGACACCAGCATCGTGGCCCAAATTATTTGAACATGAGCTAAAATCTTAAGATTTGTGTTCAATACAAAAAATCCCATTCAAAATTTTATGAAGCATACTGATGTCTGTCATGCAATTTTGGTATTATGGTATAGACAAATTGATACTGGTCCACTGAACTTGAAAGATTACAAGGTTCATGCACATCTGTACATGACAAAAAGAGAAAATCAACATTCTGTAATTCTGTGTTAAACATCTTCAAGCTTATTCATTCAAGGGTCTCCATGGTTAACAATGGTAAACTATGGACATAAATATTAACTTTGACATTTGCACCCAAGACTCTAATCCATTTAGAAACAAAGGTCCTAGAATGTTTTAACCTGAAGACAGAGGTGTGAAATTCCCTCCCTTCTTGGTTTATACTTATTTTCTTTCTCAGAAGGATAAGATCACATACTCCTCTGTCAGTCACTTTACCCCAGTAGTTTTGGATGTGATGGACAGTCCACATTCTGCTCATTGTGGTGGTGACAAGCTACAAATCTGACTCAGGTTGTTGTTGGCCATTGACTGAACATAATATGTTAACACAAAACAAAAGACTGATTACAACACAAGGTTTTATTACTTTGCACACAATGATTTTAGTTATGTATTTCTGAATTCCAAATGACTTTCACTGAAGAATGACTAAGACATCTACAGAATGTAGGAAAATTGTAGTTCTCTGTAACATCCATGTCATTAGATAATGTCCCATGATTAGTTAATGTCCCTTATAAACTGTCAAAATATACCCAGTTGAAGTCCTGCATCAACTGTCCAAAATATTTCTAGTTGGTACCCTGTGTAAATTGTACAAAATATACCTAGTTAATATCCTGTATAAACTGCCCGATGGACAGGACAGTATTAGCTGTAAGAACACCTGATGTTAGCGCTGCCACACATGGTGCAGACAAATCTAAAATCACATCTGTATCTGCTGTGTGAAGTTTGGAATGTCCAGTTTGGTCAAGTTTTTTCTGTTCAACAATATCAGGAGTTTCACTTAGATAGAAAAGTTTAGAAATCCTTTGTTTGACAGCTCCACAGGAACACCTGAGGACAGCATCAGGGTCAGGCCTACTGCCCTTTGGTAGGCGCCAAAGATGGCCATGTTCCAAGTCTGACATATGATCTTGTCTGTCATGCCCTGTTCCCATGGCAGCAATCTTTTGTAGAGTGTTGGTGAAGACTTTACAAGCTTGAGTCAGACACTTCACTGTACAGCCTGTCCGTCTGATGATGTCTACTTGGTTGGCTTTGACCTAAAACCACAAGTAATATTAGACACCACAATTAGAATCCTAATTTAATAGATTTTTATCTAAAAAAACCAAATATGACAAAACAATAAAAGATCTATGAAATCATTTAATACTAACGGGTACCATACTCCAATGGTTTCTAGGACACTGATGATTCTGGTCATAAATGATAGATACTTTGTGTCAGATCGCCTAGCTAAGAGAGCTCATGCTTTGATGCAGCATCCTTCACCCATATGTCCAACATCAACTCTCCTATTTAAACCACTTCTCATGAATAACCCAAGACAAGGAGTAATGATACAGAAGGAAGCCCAACAAAGAAATGAATGACATTTTAAAGGTCACTGAGGTCAAAAAAGTTTAAATTTCAAACAGCATTTACTCATAATAGCCAATACTTAAAATACCAATCATGTGAATTGTTACTGTATTTATGAAATCATTAATTACCAGGTGAGCGATGCAGGCCCATTAGAACTCTTGTTGTGATGTAATCATATATAAAGAATAAAGAAACACAGGTTAAGATTATTTACAATATTTTGTGAAAGCGTTGGCCAAAAACAATGAGAATTGGTCAAGCAACTCTCTAGGTTATAGTGTATGTGGTCCTGTATAGAATGTTGCATTAGTGTATTGTGTGACAATGTCTTCCAGAGAAAGCATGAAACGGGAAAACAGTGCTGTGACATTGATTTACACTGCTCATCATACCATTAGGTTGTCTTCATAGAGACATTATTTTCTGATATTTTCATTAATTTCTGATAGCTTTAAACAATGGCACGGCTGATGGAGGTTCACATAGGTCAGGTCATTGCAGTGATTATGCAAAGTCAAATGCAAATACAGGTTGCCAGACATTCAGTGTCCATATTTGAACTAAAGAATGTCGTTAGACGTCTAAGGGAAACAGGGCCAGTTGCTGACAGACCTAGGTCTAGGTATCTGCTTGTGATGTCACAATGTCAGGGCAGGTTTATATGTCTCGTGCATTTGCGCAATTGTCACCTTACTGCCCTTCATACCATAGGTATTCATAACTGTTCTATCCATGCCAAAACTGTAAGGAAACGATTGGGGAAAGTTGGTCTGCAGGCACGTGACCTGTTTGTAGGTCTGCCCCTTACTGCTTCTCGTCGTTAGCATTGTATGGCTTTGGTTGTGGCACTTGCCCCCAGAAAATTCCCAATGAGGCAGTGGAGGCGGGTCTGGTTTACTGATGTGTCAGCGTTCACCTTGTTTCAAGCAGGTGTTGGACGTTATGTATACTGACGTTGTGGAGAACGTTTAGTCAACTGCTGTGTAATAGAGATGGATAGGTTTGTAGGTGGATCGGTTATGGTGTGGGAAGGAATCTCACATGGAGTTAAATAACCACTGGTTGTGGTAGCGGGTATTTTAACTGCCGCTAGGTATAGAGATGAGTGCTGACAACTTGGTGTGCTGTCCTGTCACTGTCTGAAATTGGTTACAGAGTTGCAAGAGGCATGTGCCACATGTCACAAGCCGCAGGCGTCCACTCCTTTGACAGTCACCCTATCTCCTTGTGGATCTGAGATGCCCAACTAAACAGAATATTGTTGTCTCTCGTATACAACATTGCTGGGATACATGAAATTGGGATTACCCCTGCATTATCAGAGAAATTGCCCTTCCCCAATCGACTTCACTTCAAATGTTGTGCAGCTGTTCCAATGTTCAATTTGTAATGATTTACCAGCACATACAGTGCAGAAGTGTCTTGCATGCATGCTTTCTTGAAAAATCTGCTGAAAGCAAGCAGCATTGTGTGGGGTCATGGGCTAAATTTTAATTGAAGGACATTTTCACAGTGCATGGAGGTAGCTCAGTGTCAAATTTAATTAAATTTTGTCCATGTGTCTAAAAGTTAAATTACAATAACTGAACTTGCATTTCTTTTTTACTGCTAGTATATGTATAAAATTGATACAACAATTTACACTCCCCTTTGAAAAATGATTATTTAATACTTTCACTTTTAGTGCTATCATTGTCCGTCATTGTGTTTGCTGTTTGTTGTCCGTAACCTTTTGTTTTATAACACTACTCCTGCCTAACGCCTGAAATATCATCATGGGAATTCATCAGATTTGTCAGACTATCTTCTGCAGTTCTATGGTTTGTTCATTCATGCATGTATTGTCAGATGACCGTTAAGGGCCATGGCCCATTTCTTACCAGTTTACCTGTATTGATAATACGAGAACAGGAATAATAAACAATGGGTATTTCTGACATTACAATATCTCAAATTTTATCCTCAATGATTTTCAGCTTTCTACAGAAATATCCAATATATTTTTTTGAATGCCCAAAATATTTGCACATTAAAATCATTATCCAGTGGGTAACAAAATGTCATGACACATGGTTTCATTATGTTTGTTGACAAGATACAACATAATAAGAGGTATTTCTTCTGCTGACTTCAAACATTTTAATGAGTTATACCCTGAAGGACCATTTAAATTAAGAACTGAACAAAACTTTTGTACCAGTATTATATCAATATTAAGTTCAATGTACCTTTCTGTTCAGCATGGCAGCAAGGTGTGTTTGCCAGCAGCCAGCTCCTAGCAAGGCATGTGGTGACTGGACCAGTTGGCGTAGAGACAACAGACAGGTAGAACACAACATCTGTAGGCAAGGATATACATTTATTAGTAATGGCTAAACTAACCATATTCTCAGTCTAGTCTAACCTACACCTCAGACAGCTGTTCCTACTCCCCACTATACAGGATCTAGTCTAACCTTCAGCTCAGACAGCTGTTCCTACTCCCCACTATACAGGATCTAGTCTAACCTACACCTCAGACAGCTGTTCCTCCTCCCCACTATACAGGATCTAGTCTAACCTACAGTTCAGACAGCTGTTCCTCCTCCCCACTATACAGGACCTAGTCTAACCTACAGTTCTGACAGCTTTTCCTCCTCCCCACTATACAGGACCTAGTCTAACCTACAGTTCTGACAGCTGTTCCTCCTCCCCACTATACAGGACCTAGTCTAACCTACAGCTCAGACAGCTGTTCCTCCTCCCCACTATACAGGATCTAGTCTAACCTACTTCTCAGACAGCTGTTCCTCCTCCCCACTATACAGGACCTAGTCTAACCTACAGTTCAGACAGCTGTTCCTCCTCCCCACTATACAGGATCTAGTCTAACCTACAGTTCTGACAGCTGTTCCTCCTCCCCACTATACAGGATCTAGTCTAACCTACAGTTCAGACAGCTGTTCCTCCTCCCCACTATACAGGATCTAGTCTAACCTACTACTCAGACAGCTGTTCCTCCTCCCCACTATACAGGACCTAGTCTAACCTACAGTTCAGACAGCTGTTCCTCCTCCCCACTATACAGGATCTAGTCTAACCTACACCTCAGACAGCTGTTCCTACTCCCCACTATACAGGATCTAGTCTAACCTACACCTCAGACAGCTGTTCCTCCTCCCCACTATACAGGACCTAGTCTAACCTACAGTTCTGACAGCTGTTCCTCCTCCCCACTATACAGAATGTAGTCTAACCTACAGTTCTGACAGCTGTTCCTCCTCCCCACTATACAGGATCTAGTCTAACCTACAGTTCTGACAGCTGTTCCTCCTCCCCACTATACAGGATCTAGTCTAACCTACAGTTCAGACAGCTGTTCCTCCTCCCCACTATACAGGATCTAGTCTAACCTACAGTTCTGACAGCTGTTCCTCCTCCCCACTATACAGGATCTAGTCTAACCTACAGTTCTGACAGCTGTTCCTCCTCCCCACTATACAGGATCTAGTCTAACCTACAGTTCAGACAGCTGTTCCTCCTCCCCACTATACAGGATCTAGTCTAACCTACAGTTCTGACAGCTGTTCCTCCTCCCCACTATACAGGATCTAGTCTAACCTACTACTCAGACAGCTGTTCCTCCTCCCCACTATACAGGACCTAGTCTAACCTACAGTTCAGACAGCTGTTCCTCCTCCCCACTATACAGGATCTAGTCTAACCTACACCTCAGACAGCTGTTCCTACTCCCCACTATACAGGATCTAGTCTAACCTACACCTCAGACAGCTGTTCCTACTCCCCACTATACAGGATCTAGTCTAACCTACACCTCAGACAGCTGTTCCTCCTCCCCACTATACAGGATCTAGTCTAACCTACACCTCAGACAGCTGTTCCTACTCCCCACTATACAGGATCTAGTCTAACCTACACCTCAGACAGCTGTTCCTACTCCCCACTATACAGGATCTAGTCTAACCTACACCTCAGACAGCTGTTCCTCCTCCCCACTATACAGGATCTAGTCTAACCTACAGTTCTGACAGCTGTTCCTCCTCCCCACTATACAGGATCTAGTCTAACCTACAGTTCTGACAGCTGTTCCTCCTCCCCACTATACAGGATCTAGTCTAACCTACAGTTCTGACAGCTGTTCCTCCTCCCCACTATACAGGATCTAGTCTAACCTACAGTTCTGACAGCTGTTCCTCCTCCCCACTATACAGAATGTAGTCTAACCTACAGTTCTGACAGCTGTTCCTCCTCCCCACTATACAGGATCTAGTCTAACCTACACCTAAGACAGCTGTTCCTCCTCCCTACTATACAGAATGTAGTCTAACCTACAGCTCAGACAGCTGTTCCTCCTCCCCACTATACAGGATCTAGTCTAACCTACACCTAAGACAGCTGTTCCTCCTCCCTACTATACAGAATGTAGTCTAACCTACAGTTCTGACAGCTGTTCCTCCTCCCCACTATACAGGATCTAGTCTAACCTACACCTAAGACAGCTGTTCCTCCTCCCCACTATACAGAATGTAGTCTAACCTACAGCTCAGACAGCTGTTCCTCCTCCCCACTATACAGGATCTAGTCTAACCTACACCTCAGACAGCTGTTCCTCCTCCCCACTATACAGGATCTAGTCTAACCTACAGTTCAGACAGCTGTTCCTCCTCCCCACTATACAGGATCTAGTCTAACCTACAGTTCAGACAGCTGTTCCTCCTCCCCACTATACAGGATCTAGTCTAACCTACAGTTCAGACAGCTGTTCCTCCTCCCCACTATACAGGACCTAGTCTAACGTACAGTTCTGACAGCTTTTCCTCCTCCCCACTATACAGGATCTAGTCTAACCTACAGTTCAGACAGCTGTTCCTCCTCCCCACTATACAGGATCTAGTCTAACCTACAGTTCAGACAGCTGTTCCTCCTCCCCACTATACAGGATCTAGTCTAACCTACAGTTCAGACAGCTGTTCCTCCTCCCCACTATACAGAATGTAGTCTAACCTACAGTTCTGACAGCTGTTCCTCCTCCCCACTATACAGAATGTAGTCTAACCTACAGTTCTGACAGCTGTTCCTCCTCCCCACTATACAGGATCTAGTCTAACCTACAGTTCAGACAGCTGTTCCTCCTCCCCACTATACAGGATCTAGTCTAACCTACAGTTCTGACAGCTGTTCCTCCTCCCCACTATACAGGACCTAGTCTAACCTACAGTTCAGACAGCTGTTCCTCCTCCCCACTATACAGGATCTAGTCTAACCTACAGTTCAGACAGCTGTTCCTCCTCCCCACTATACAGGATCTAGTCTAACCTACAGTTCTGACAGCTGTTCCTCCTCCCCACTATACAGGACCTAGTCTAACCTACAGTTCTGACAGCTGTTCCTCCTCCCCACTATACAGGATCTAGTCTAACCTACAGTTCTGACAGCTGTTCCTCCTCCCCACTATACAGGACCTAGTCTAACCTACAGTTCTGACAGCTGTTCCTCCTCCCCACTATACAGGATCTAGTCTAACCTACAGTTCTGACAGCTGTTCCTCCTCCCCACTATACAGGATCTAGTCTAACCTACAGTTCTGACAGCTGTTCCTCCTCCCCACTATACAGGATCTAGTCTAACCTACAGTTCTGACAGCTGTTCCTCCTCCCCACTATACAGGACCTAGTCTAACCTACAGTTCTGACAGCTGTTCCTCCTCCCCACTATACAGGATCTAGTCTAACCTACAGTTCTGACAGCTGTTCCTCCTCCCCACTATACAGGATCTAGTCTAACCTACAGTTCTGACAGCTGTTCCTCCTCCCCACTATACAGGACCTAGTCTAACCTACACCTCAGACAGCTGTTCCTCCTCCCCACTATACAGGACCTAGTCTAACCTACAGTTCTGACAGCTGTTCCTCCTCCCCACTATACAGGATCTAGTCTAACCTACAGTTCTGACAGCTGTTCCTCCTCCCCACTATACAGGACCTAGTCTAACCTACACCTCAGACAGCTGTTCCTCCTCCCCACTATACAGGACCTAGTCTAACCTACAGTTCAGACAGCTGTTCCTCCTCCCCACTATACAGGACCTAGTCTAACCTACAGTTCAGACAGCTGTTCCTCCTCCCCACTATACAGGACCTAGTCTAACCTACACCTCAGACAGCTGTTCCTCCTCCCCACTATACAGGACCTAGTCTAACCTACAGCTCAGACAGCTGTTCCTCCTCCCCACTATACAGGATCTAGTCTAACCTACAGCTCAGACAGCTGTTCCTCCTCCCCACTATACAGGATCTAGTCTAACCTACTACTCAGACAGCTGTTCCTCCTCCCCACTATACAGGATCTAGTCTAACCTACAGTTCTGACAGCTGTTCCTCCTCCCCACTATACAGGACCTAGTCTAACCTACAGTTCTGACAGCTGTTCCTCCTCCCCACTATACAGGACCTAGTCTAACCTACAGCTCAGACAGCTGTTCCTCCTCCCCACTATACAGGACCTAGTCTAACCTACAGCTCAGACAGCTGTTCCTCCTCCCCACTATACAGGATCTAGTCTAACCTACAGTTCTGACAGCTGTTCCTCCTCCCCACTATACAGGATCTAGTCTAACCTACAGTTCTGACAGCTGTTCCTCCTCCCCACTATACAGGACCTAGTCTAACCTACAGTTCTGACAGCTGTTCCTCCTCCCCACTATACAGGACCTAGTCTAACCTACAGTTCAGACAGCTGTTCCTCCTCCCCACTATACAGGATCTAGTCTAACCTACAGTTCTGACAGCTGTTCCTCCTCCCCACTATACAGGATCTAGTCTAACCTACAGTTCTGACAGCTGTTCCTCCTCCCCACTATACAGGATCTAGTCTAACCTACAGTTCTGACAGCTGTTCCTCCTCCCCACTATACAGGATCTAGTCTAACCTACAGTTCTGACAGCTGTTCCTCCTCCCCACTATACAGGACCTAGTCTAACCTACAGTTCTGACAGCTGTTCCTCCTCCCCACTATACAGGACCTAGTCTAACCTACACCTCAGACAGCTGTTCCTCCTCCCCACTATACAGGACCTAGTCTAACCTACACCTCAGACAGCTGTTCCTCCTCCCCACTATACAGGACCTAGTCTAACCTACACCTCAGACAGCTGTTCCTCCTCCCCACTATACAGAATGTAGTCTTACCTTCAGCTCAGACAGCTGTTCCTCTTCTTGGCTGTACAGGACCAAACTTACAACACACTTGTCTTGTAATGGTGACAGGAGCATATAACTCTTTCCAAGAAAAATCTGATGTTCAACTGATGCAACTTTTCCTAGTACCTCAGTATCCAGATTGTGAAAAGATCTTATAGGAACAGCACCTGTAAATGGTGATAGGAATAAGTGATACACAGCCAGTCATTGATTAGTACAAAATAGGATACAAATACAACTCTAGACAGTCCCTGTAATGGTATATACTAGCGGGATATTTGATAATTATAGTCATTCCCTTTAATGGTATGTACTACAGGGTTATTTATAATTATAGTCAGCCCCTGTAATGGTATATACAAGCAGGTTATTTTGTAATTATAGTCATCCCCTGTAATGGTATGTACCACAGGGTTATTTTATAATTATAGTCAGCCCCTGTAATGGTATATACTAGCAGGTTATTTTATAATTATAGTCAGCCCATGTAATGGTATGTACTACAGGGTTATTTTATAATCATAGTCAGCCCATGTAATGGTATGTACCACAGGGTTATTTTATAATTATAGTCAGCCCCTGTAATGGTATATACTAAGATAACGGCCCTGTCATATAATATCATACAAAGATAATGGCCCTGTCATATAATATCATACAAAGATAACGGCCCTGTCATATAATATCATACAAAGATAACAGACCTGTCATATAATATCATACAAAGATAACCGCCCTGTCATATAATATCATACAAAGATAACGGCCCTGTCGTATAATATCATACAAAGATATCCGCCCTGTCATATAATATCATACAAAGATAACGGCCCTGTCATATAATATCATACAAAGATAACAGCCCTGTCGTATAATATCATACAAAGATAACCGCCCTGTCATATAATATCATACAAAGATAACGGCCCTGTCATATAATATCATACAAAGATAACCGCCCTGTCATATAATATCATACAAAGATAACCGCCCTGTCATATAATATCATACAAAGATAAGAGCCCTGTCATATAATAACATAACAAGATAAAGGCCCTGTCATATAATATCATACAAAGATAACCGCCCTGTCATATAATATCATACAAAGATAACATCTCTTTAACAATGTTGTGAATAGTCTGAATAGTATCATATTTTACTGTTGACTTGAATATAAGGATGATGTAAATAAAAAGTGTTGTTATCAACTTCTGCTCAGTTTTTTCCTTATTTACTGAAGAAAAATATGAGGTTTCAGCAACTTTTGCTCACATATCTTTTTATTATCTGAGTGAGCAGAGCATTATCCCTATGTTTTAAACTGTGTCAATTCTTCTTTTCTACCTGAAACATCCTGGATGTAAGGTGTCATGGTAACTCCCAGTCTCTCCACTACTACAATGGACTGTTGTTGGAGCCTATATTTGAGTCGAGGATGAACCACTCGTTGACAAAGTAACAGCCCTACATTAGCAGCAGTCAGTTTGTCACAGAAGTCCTCTAAAATGCCCAGTATACAGTAGTCAGTGTCCACAGAAATATCTGATTCATACTGCATACTGCCTACTTCTTCTGAATCTCCCGACATGGAGGCTGTTACCAAGGCAACTAGGCAGTGAAAGGTACTGTCTTCATTCTCCACTGTATTAACATTCAAGATTTGATTGGAATGAGACACAATTTCTGGGCACTGCAGGAGGAGTCCCTGAAGAACGTTGGATTTCTCTATTGGTTGCCCCTGTAAAGCTACGACATTGACAGAGTCTGACACCCGTGTCACAGTTTCACAGTTAGGGAGTGACATCAGGAAAGTCTCCAGTAACAAATCACTACACAACTTCAAGTTCCTTACAGCAAACTGGCAGAGGGGTTTAGATATAAGTATACTTTTTACAATGGAAGACATTTGTTTCAAATCAGAGAACATGACATCTATCTTAATAGGACTGCTTGTTTTACATTGGATATAGTCTGCACACATCCCCAGGAAGATTTCATATAAATCAGTCAGGATCCTTCTACTTGTGCCAAGCTTTAAGGACTGTAAGATCAAATTCAAGCTGACTGACATCATCAAATGTCCAGCATCATTAAATTTTTTCAAATGTCCCTGTGCAGAGCTTGTAATCAGTTTTACCATTGGGTTGGTAAATGACATGGCATTGAGTAGCCTTGTTGAAGTAGAGGTCAAGGTTAAATGACCTCCAAGTGAGTTCTGTACGATTTTAATTTTACCACCAGGTCCTCGTGAAGAAGACGTAATCTGCTCCATCAGTATCAAAGCCTTCAATATGCAGTCATTCTCCAGTGTAAGGCAGTTTATAGGAGACTCTGCCTTGGAATCCAAACGGGTCTTTCCCTTCAAATTAGACTGCATTTCTGATCCCAGTAAGGACTGATCTGCTTTACCCACTGTGTGACGTATAAACAGGATCAGATGTGTATGATTTCAGTCACTCACATTCTCACTCATTCATGTAACCTGTCAAAAGAGAAAGTAGGACAACAGTAAGACTGATGTCACCTATGAAAACAAGCATGAGAGAAATACAATCCTGTATCACTTGCAATGATGGTTTAAGTTAACCAAAGCAGTGATGGTTTTGGTTAACCAAAACAATGACGGTTTTTGTGTAGATTGTTTTGGTTAACCTAAACAATCTTTGTTTTGGTTAATCTAACCATCTTGATCGTCAAAGATGGTTTTGGTTAACCAAAGCAATGATGATTTAGGTTAACCAAAGCAATGATGATTTAGGTTAACCAAAGCAATGATGGTTCAGGTTAACTAAAACAAAGATGGTTTAGTTTAACCAAAACAAAGATGTTCTTCGTTAACCAAACAGGAGTGGTCTATGGTAACCAAGTGACAACAACTTTGATCATCCTGAAATGAAAATTTACTTACAATAATTCTACGTTCATCTATTTACAATCTGCGCTCTGCTTCTTCTTGACGTTCTTTCCTTCTTTTAGCATCAACTCTCTTCTGTAATTCTACTATTTCATGAAATTCTTTTGGCGTCCCAAACCAATCTTCGCCTTTAAGATACATAACATAAAGACATCCACTTGTCACTACACCATATACTGCCATTGGGTGAATTCCCTTATCTAGCATCCGTTTAAATAATGGTATCTTTGTCATAGTGGAATCTTCTGACCATCTGTCTCCACAATTCTGCAAATTAAGGAAATAGAAATATAGGATAATCGTCAGGACTTCTAAATGTGTTCTGTTGTCAATTTTACCTCCTTAGTTAATGTTACACTAAACCCCAAAGCCAGAATTATAGACAAAACCGACCGTAATTAGTAACAGCAAATATTACATAGGTATCCATCTAGTCAGTGTTACCTGATTGTCTTAATGATCTATTATTCCATGCCCGTCGCCACACATTAGTATGTCTACCCATCATTATTCCATGCCCGTCGCCACACATTAGTATGTCTACCCATCATTATTCCATGCCCGTCGCCACACATTAGTATGTCTACCCATCATTATTCCATGCCCGTCGCCACACATTAGTATGTCTACCCATCAAGCTAAAGGTGACACTCCCCAAAGTGACAGTATTCTTTATATAATGTATAATCACAAAAACATCAGCCACTTGGTCACAAATGTGTAACTAGTCTGAAGGGATCTAACAAGCACAACTTGTCTTATTGTTACAGTTGACCGTATTATATAAAAATGTGTCCGTATGGGGTTGTGTTGTGTGATCATTCTGATAAAAAAAATATATATCTTTGCTAGACAAAATAGCAACTCTATTCATACATATCAGTGAAATAATATAAAACAGTGATAGCAAAAAGGTATTGATTTACATACATGTACAGTCGAACCTATTTAATTTGAACTCAGTTATATTGAAAAACTAGTTAATTTGAAATAAAAAATAATCCCCATCAAAATGTCAGTATTTTCACCTCATTTAATTTGAAATTGATTAATTTGAAATCCTGCGTTACTTGAAAGTAAATACTGGTCCTAGACAGTACTAATGAACTGTTTTCTCTCAATAAAAGCTATTCACTGAGTATTGAAATGTTATCATATATATGTTTCTGTGTTCATCTAATCTTGTTTCAAAATGTTTAACATTAGACAAGTCATACTGTTCTATAATGTAGTCGGTAGATAAGATCTCACTCAGGCTAGTGTTACATTTCTTTATATTTAGTGACAATTTTTAAAGTGTTCATCAGATCCCCTCTTATATGCTAATGATTTTGAAAGCTACTGTAAGCATTTGTCAATAACTTTATTAGAAAAAGCTTGGTGTCTTGCCTCTGTTCTCTATGAAATTGATGTCTTCTGTGTTTTTATACGGATTTCGTACACTCAATACATGCTCTAGCTAGTACAAGTCTTTTAAAAAGTAATCTAAACATAATTTCATTTAGATAGATTATGTAATCTTCAAATAAGTCCAACACAGTTTGCTTTGATAGAGAACATCCTTGGATTTGTGAGGATGCAATAGAGTTCTACTGCACACTTTCATTAGGCCCACAGCAGATTGGGCATAACCCCATATATGGGTAGTAGTCCTGCATTTAAGTGACAGTTATCTGCTTAGAGTAACAAATTTATTACTCGAACAGGAAATACTTTGTAATTATAATATCATATTAGTTCTTTTAAATATTTGTAACAAAATAAAGTGTCAACTTGAATAGCATCTTTCCTAAGTAACCAGGAACAACGAGTACTTATCAATGGTAAAACATCAAATTGGGAAAATATAACCAGTGGGGTCCCGCAGGGGAGTGTCCTAGGACCTGTGTAATTATCAATATACATCAATGACCTACCCAAAATGACCAAATCCATCACAAAATTGTTCCCAGATGATACAAAGATATATGGAACAAGTAACAACAATAACAGAATAGGTCAACTCCAGAAGGACAACGTTTTTACTATGGATACAGCAACAAATGGTACAGATACACTATGAATGGTGAGGAAATACTACAAGGAGATCAGGACAAAGATCTAGGAGTCACATTTGAAACTGAATAGTAGTTCAGCATACATGTAGCAAGTAGTGTGAAAAAGGCAAATAGACTGGTAGGGCTATTGAAGAGGTCATTCACATCCTTGGACAAAGAAATGTTCATTACACTGGCCCTCATTAGACCACATCTGGAGTATGTTGTACCTGTGTAGAGTCCATTGTTAAAGAAAGATGTTGGAGCAACTGAAACATGCAAAGAAGAGCCGCTAAGCTTGTTCAATCTTTAAAAGACAGACTACTATAACTTGGACTCCCAACCTTACAATATAGGAGAAAGATGTCCCTTGTTATTTAAGTCTATAGTTTCCTCAATGGAATTGAAGAAAAAGGCAAAGGAATGTTTGCAAGTATTAACAACAACAGAACAAGGAGGCATAACTTCAAAATCCAGCAGAAACACTCAAGACTACACTGTAGGAGGCACTCATTCGACAGAGACATGAACCGTTTACTGAATGAAGTTATTAGTGCAAGAACGCTAAATGCATATTGTTAATGGTATGGAGCTAGCTAATAGGAGAATTAGAGTCAAGAAAGTATACATATGTAATAGATTTTAAAAGCGGACATTGACATCAATGAAGAGTTTTATTTTCAAATACATGCTGTAAAAAAAACACAGACTAGTTCAGATATTGTCGTGTGCAACCAACGATGAAATTAAGAATGAACTTGAAGAATCAAAGTGGTCTAGAAGCTTAAATACCTTATGCAGACCGAAGATCAGGTGAAACAAAAACGTGTCATCTTTTTAATATGGCCCAATAGCCATTGTGACACTGTATATATTTGTATATTAGCATCAGAGATATGCATTTCTAGAAATGTTATTTATCAATCTTAGTTGCTAAAATGACAATTTATATGACTATCACTGACTTTGTCCTCCAATGTCTAATGACCACATTGTATAACTATTCACACGAGTCCAATCAGTGCATTTTAAGTGAGTATGAATTTATCCATGTCTAATTTTGCACATCAAAAGCAATGTAGGTGATAAAGTCTGTAATTTTTCAAAGATTTTTTTATAGGTACAAATTTAAACCTTGAGAAACAATTGTCTCACTTCAAAGTAAAGAGGAAACCCGGCGTTATTTGTTTCACCTCTTTGGTTTTCTCACCTTGAATGAACGCCTGTCGAACTCGCTTGATGTTTACTGCGTTGCATAGAAGCTTAATTTGGTCCGGCTTTCTGATAGAGCGTCTGTTTGCTCATGATCGGTAATCGGGGTTCTCTGACGTTATTATGATATCCGAAATATTCCGAACATGTTACCGCCGAAATTTGACTCAAAAGTGAACAGTTCGAAGTTATGGTTTTAAACAGGATAATCACAAAGTTCTTTCAGGTATTTTATGTGATCTTGTAATGCTCGGAACGGATCCGCCGATTTTCCCAATATTAGTGTCGATTTAACCCTAAGCAACTGTGTGCAATAACTGCACAATTAATATCAACATGTAGATATTTATCGGTAATCCCGTACGTAATTCCTCCGTGGTACACATTTATAGCTAATATCTATATATCAATGAGCCCAGAAGAAGTAATCCACGAAGGGATTAGTTTATCGGGTTTACCAGTAGAACGGTTCGAACCCGCGACCTTCAGAACTCTAGTCAGGTGCTCTACTTACGCTAGACTCCTCCCCCCTTACCTTTAGTCTTCGCCCCCCGAAGACATCACATCTAATAACCAAGGTTCAGGTATCCTCTTGTATATCATGCTTGAAGTTGAAACAAGGTTAAGTCATGGCACCAAATGAAACAGGTGCAGAAAGAGGTGCCGGCAGACCAGGGTTCGAACCTTGGACCTTCCCAACTCTAGACGGATGGTCTGCCTACTGAGCTAAGTGCTCGCTGTCCAGTTCTGCTACAGATCTATACGATATGTGAAACTGCTTGGAAAATATCTATCCCTGATGAGTGCCCTGACCAGGGATCAAACCCTGGTGTGATAATCAATCTGTTTTGCCAACAAAGTCAAAGAAGCAAACTCTGTTAGTAACAGAAATGTATGTTCAAGCCACAACAACCTGCACCTTGAACAGTTATATAGCCTAATTGTATGCTTTCGGTTTTTTCTAGTTCTTTGAGAAAAAAACAAGACAGCAGAAATATATAATCAGACTTTATCCTTTATTCGGAGAAAATCGGTTTTATTTTATGATACATATGTAAATAATTAAATGATAACTTAATAAAATAAGATTATACACATAATCATTACTGTGTGGTTGAGAGAAACATATATACAAAACAATTGCTCAGCAGAAAGTAGTAATGTTACCATTCATCACAACCAGTAATGTAGGGTTACTGTAGATTTTTCCTTATTACTTTTGTGTCACAACTAAATTCTTCAAGCTCTGTTTTGATTATGAATGCTCTGTTGATCATACATGTTGTAAGGCCTTATTTGAGACCTTGATAGATACCTACAATAATTGGAGATATCTTGTTTTTCCAGTTGGATGAGAAAAGAGCCCTTCAGGTAGACTTCCATCCAATAGGTTCTAACATCAAACCAGGCCCAAAGAAGTGGTTACAAAATGATACATTGTTGGTAAGAAGTGATGCACAGGTTTAGAAACATTTCAATTGTGTTAAAAAGATCTTTATAATCGGCTCAAAAGATTTTGTCAGAAAAATTGGAGACTCACCTGAAGTTTTGTTAATTTTGATTAGTATTTAAAAATCAAATTTATACAAAATAATGTTCAGATGTAACATAGAACATCATCCGAATACATAGGATGTGCTAACTATACAATTGATCAGGAGGTTTTGACTTGATGACCTTTAAAACAACCACTTACCCTTGATTTTGAAGGTCCTGACCAGATGTAATTTGACAAGAGATTGCTCACTGCAGCAATGAAAACTAAAACATGTCCACTATTCACATCCCGAAATCCAGGTCATGCTACATCCCTATGATATATAGTTGACATGCCACATCCTTATGATATATAGTTGACATGCCACATCCTTATGATATATAGTTGACATGCTACATCCCTATGATGTATAGTTGACATGCCACATCCCTATGATATATAGTCAACATGCTACATCCCTATGATATATAGTCGACATGCCACATCCCTATGATATATAGTTGACATTCTACATCCCTATGATATATAGTTGACATTCTACATCCCTATGATATATAGTCGACATGCCACATCCCTATGATATATAGTCGACATGCCACATCTCTATAATATAAAGTCGACATGCCACATCCCTATGATATATAGTCGACATGCCACATCTCTATGATATAAAGTCAACATGCCACATCCCTATGATATATAGTCGACATGCTACATCCCTATGATATATAGTCGACATGCCACATCCCTATGATATATAGTCGACATGCTGCATCCCTATGATATATAGTCGACATGCCACATCCCTATGATATATAGTCAACATGCCACATCTCTATGATATAAAGTCAACACGACATGCTACATCCCTATGATATATAGTCGACATGCCACATCCCTATGATATATAGTCGACATGCCGCATCCCTATGATATATAGTCGACATGCTGCATCCCTATGATATATAGTCGACATGCCACATCTCTATGATATAAAGTCGACATGCCACATCCCTATGATGTATAGTCGACATGCTACATCCCTATGATGTATAGTCAACATGCCACATCCCTATGATATATAATCGACATGCTACATCCCTATGATATATAGTCGACATGCTACATCCCTATTATATATAGTTGACATGCCACATCCCTATGATATATAGTTGACATGCTACATCCCTGTGATATATAGTTGACATTTTACATCCCTATAATATATAGTTGACATGCCACATCCCTATGATATATAATTGACATTCTACATCCCTATGATATACAGTTGACATGCCACATCCCTATAATATATAGTTGACATTCTACATCCCTATGATATAAAGTCAACATGCCACATCCCTATGATATATAGTTGACATGCTACATCCCTATGATATATAGTTGACATGCCACATCCCTATGATATAAAGTCAACTTGCCACATCCCTATGATATATAATTGACATTCTACATCCCTATGATATATAGTCGACATGCCACATCCCTATGATATATAGTTGACATTCTACATCCCTATGATATATAGTTGACATTCTACATCTCTATGATATATAGTTGACATTCTACATCCCTATGATATATAGTTGACATTCTACATCCCTATAATATATAGTTGACATGCCACATCCCTATGATATATAGTTGACATGCCACATCCCTATGATATATAGTTGACATTCTACATGCCTATGATATATAGTCGACATGCCACATCCCTATGATATATAGTCGACATTCTACATCTCTATGATATATAGTTGACATTCTACATCCCTATGATATATAGTTGACATTCTACATCCCTATAATATATAGATATATATATAAAGTCAACATGCCACATTCATGCTACATCCCTATAATATATAGTTGACATGCCACATCCCTATGATATATAGTTGACATTCTACATCTCTATGATATATAGTTGACATTCTACATCCCTATGATATATAGTCGACATGCCACATCTCTATGATATATAATTGACATTCTACATCCCTATGATATATAGTTGACATTCTACATCTCTATGATATATAGTTGACATTCTACATCCCTATGATATATAGTTGACATTCTACATCCCTATAATATATAGTTGACATGCCACATCCTATGAAATATAGTTGACATGCCACATCCCTATGATATATAGTTGACATTCTACATCCCTTTGATATATAGTTGACATTCTACATCCCTATGATGTATAGTCGACATGCCACATCCCTATGATATTTAGTTGACATGCCACATCCCTATGATATATAGTTGACATGCCACATCCCTATGATATATAGTTAACATGCCACATCCCTATGATATATAGTTGACATGCCACATCCCTATGATATATAGTTGACATTCTACATCCCTATGATATATAGTTGACATGCTACATCCCTATGATATATAGTTGACATTCTACATCCCTATGATATATAGTCGACATGCCACATCCCTATGATATATAGTCGACATGCTACATCCCTATGCTATATAGTCGACATGCCACATCCCTATGATATATAGTCGACATGCCACATCCCTATGATATATAGTCGACATGCCACATCCCTATGATATATAGTTGTACCTTTCACTTTTCATTTAAACTTGATCAATGCTACAGCTGATTATAACTTATAATTTGACATATAAGATGTTCCAAAACCGTTATCATGGAAATACTTTGGAGGCTTCAGATGGATGTTATCAGATTAAGTAGAAAATTTGTATAAAAAGATTTAGTGGGATGAAAAATACAATGAATCATTGAAAAAAAAATTGTTTCCATTTGGTTGCCATGGCGACCAAATGAAGACCTCTTGGATGAATCTTGTTCGGACAATCCCTCATAAACTATTGCTAATTTGGGAGTGGGGGTATCAGTCACCCATTCTGGTGACAGTTCTAGTTTACACTATTGCTGCAAAAGATTAATTTTCAAATTTCTTATCATTAAGAGCAAAAACAGAAGAGATTCTAAGATCTGAGAATCAAAATTTTTTGTTCTTTTGAATGTTGATTGAACTGATGTCACGCTAAACTGGACATATTGTTTCTTTCGTTTTTTGCAGGAAATACAAAATCTATTGCATGATTTAATAAAGCAGTTTGTGAGTGACATAGGAAAGTCGGAGAAGAAATCTAAAAGATCCAATCAGATTATAACAGGTCAGTAACAAGGGTGACAGGTGTGTCAGTAAGTGACACACATCAGTAACTAGGAGGAGGTGTTTGTCTGTTACTCGGGTCAGTAGCTAGGAGGTAGATGTGTTAATCAGTGATACACATCAGTATTTAGGATGGGGATATGTTTGTTAGTAACTAGGGTCAGTATCTAGGATGGGGATATGTTTGTCAGTAACTAGGGTCAGTATCTAGGATGGGGATATGTTTGTCAGTTACTAGGGACACTACCTAGGATAGGGGTGTGTTTGTCAGTAACTAGGGTCAGTAATTAGGATGGGGATATGTTTGTCAGTTACTATGGTCAGTACCTAGGATGGGGATATGTTTGTCAGTTACTAGGGACACTACCTAGGATAGGGGTGTGTTTGTCAGTAACTAGGGTCAGTAATTAGGATGGGGATATGTTTGTCAGTTACTATGGTCAGTACCTAGGATGGGGATATGTTTGTCAGTTACTAGGGACACTACCTAGGATAGGGGTGTGTTTGTCAGTAACTAGGGTCAGTAATTAGGATGGGGATATGTTTGTCAGTTACTATGGTCAGTACCTAGGATGGGGATTTATTTGTCAGTAACTAGGGTCAGTACCCAGGATGGGGATATGTTTGTCAGTAACTAGGGTCAGTATCTAGGATGGGGATGTGTTTGTCAGTAAGTAGGGTCAGTATCTAGGATAGGGATGTGTTTGTCAGTAACTAGGGTCAGTACCTAGGATGGGAATGTGTTTGTCAGTAACTAGAGTCAGTACCTGGGATGGGGATGTATTTGTCAGTAACTAGAGTCAGTACCTAGGATAGGGATGTATTTGTCAGTAACTAGAGTCAGTACCTAGGATAGGGATGTATTTGTCAGTAACTAGGGTCAGTACCTAGGATGGGAATGTGTTTGTCAGTAACTAGGGTCAGTACCTAGGATGGGAATGTGTTTGTCAGTAACTAGGGTCAGTATCTAGGATGGGGATGTGTTTGTTAGTAACTAGGGTCAGTACCTAGGATGGGAATGTGTTTGTCAGTAACTAGAGTCAGTACCTGGGATGGGGATGTATTTGTCAGTAACTAGGGTCAGTACCTAGGATGGGAATGTGTTTGTCAGTAACTAGGGTCAGTATCTAGGATGGGGATGTGTTTGTTAGTAACTAGGGTCAGTATCTAGGATGGGGATATGTTTGTCAGTAACTAGGGTCAGTATCTAGGATGGGGATATGTTTGTCAGTTACTAGGGACACTACCTAGGATAGGGGTGTGTTTGTCAGTAACTAGGGTCAGTATCTAGGATGGGGATATGTTTGTCAGTTACTAGGGACACTACCTAGGATAGGGGTGTGTTTGTCAGTAACGAGGGTCAGTATCTAGGATGGGGATGTATTTCTCAGTAACTATGGTCAGTACCTAGGATGGGGATGTATTTGTCAGTAACTAGGGTCTGTATCTAGGATGGGGATGTGTTTGCCAGTAACTAGGGTCAGTATCTAGGATGGGGATGTGTTTGTCAGTAACTAGGGTCAGTACCTAGGATGGGGATGTGTTTATCAGTAACTAGGGTCAGTACCTAGGATGGGGATGTGTTTATCAGTAACTAGGGTCAGTATCTAGGATGGGGATGTGTTTGTTAGTAACTAGGGTCAGTATCTAGGATGGAGATGTGTTCATCACTTGGTTGGTGTTCATTTACATGTAGAGTTTTTATATTTCTTTTTTTCCGTGAAGGTGTAGACATTTTGTTTTTTTTATTTTGAAGTATGTGAAGCACATATACTTACCTAAACCTGAAGACCAATCTACCAATATGTTAGTACATAATAAGATGTCTCTAGAGTCATTTGAGCAACAGGTGTGCGATACAAATTGGATTTTTGTATTATGTTGTAGTTAATGCTAAAATTGTTTTGAAATGAAGGATTTACTTCTGTGTTTTTTTTTGTACTTTTTTGGCCAGTAATAATTCAGTTTCATGTGTTCATTTTAAGGAAACACTGTGCTATTAGGATGTGTGTTCAGACAGAGGTCTAATGCCAATGATCTTCTGATAGAAGAAGGCAGTGACGATGGTAGGTAACGACTATACCTTATAGACAGGTAAAATCAGCAATGATAATTCAATATGTGATGGGAACGATACCGTAAATTTGCAGGTATAGTGCGCACTCGGCTGTAATGCGCACCCTCTTTCTGACATGACAGTTTTAGCTGAAAAAGTGCGCACTATACACGGAAATTAACGGTAATTCAATATGTCGTAAAAGAAGGCAGTGATGATGGTAGGTAACAACTACACCTTATAGACTATTCTGCCAGTGGTATGTAAGATCTGTTAATACCTGTCTGTAGTCTGAATACCTCTAAGTTCACCCTTGTATACTGTCTGTGGTACATAAATCTATAAGTCTCTACCCTGATAAGTACCTCTAAGTTCACCCCTGTATACTGTCTGTGGTACATAAATATACAAGTCTGGGTGCTGATAAGTACCTCTAAGTTCACCCCTGTATACTGTCTGTGGTACATAAATATACAAGTCTGGGTGCTGATAAGTACCTCTAAGTTCACCCCTGTATACTGTCTGTGGTACATAAATCTACAAGTCTCTAACCTGATAAATACCGGTAAGTTCACCTCTGTATACTGTCTGCGGTACATAACTCTACACGTCTCAGAGCTGATCAATACCTCTAAGTCTCGGAGCTGATAAATACCTCTGTATTTATACATATGTAGAGAAACATTTAAAGATTTAATGTTCCACTAGAAGTTAATAGTTACCTTGTTCAGAATACCAATATGGTGTGTAACCTTGTGTTTTCCAGAATCTGTGTTCCGATCGTTATACGGACAGAAGTTGATAGTGTATGTGTGTCCTAACGAACAAGGCAGTCCCAGCAGTGGATCCGAGGTAACAAAGGCTCATACTTGTTAGTCCTATGTACTATTGATATTACAGGTACACATTGTCATAGTAGTTCTCATAAGGGGCAAGCTTTGTTACTGTACATCTCATGAGGGGTACACATTGTTACAGTACATCTCATAAGGGGTACACATTGTTACAGTACATCTCATAAGGGGTACACATTGTTACAGCACATCTCATAATGGGTACACGTTGTTACAGCACATCTCATAATGGGTACACATTGTTACAGTACATCTCATTAGTAGTACACATTGTTACAGTACATCTCATAAGGGGTACACATTGTTACAGCACATCTCATGATGGGTACACGTTGTTACAGCACATCTCATAATGGGTACACATTGTTACAGTACATCTCATTAGTAGTACACATTGTTACAGTACATCTCATAATGGGTACACATTGTTACAGTACATCTCATAAGGGGTACACATTGTTACAGTACATCTCATAAGGGGTACACATTGTTACAGTACAACTCATGAGGGGTACACATTGTTACAGTACATCTCATGAGGGGTACACATTGTTACAGTACATCTCATAAGGGGTACACATTGTTATAGTATATCTCATAAGGGGTACACATTGTTACAGCACATCTCATAATGGGTACACATTGGTACAGCACATCTCATAAGGGGTACACATTGTTACAGTACATCTCATAATGGGTACACATTGTTACAGTACATCTCATAAGGGGTACACATTGTTACAGTACAACTCATGAGGGGTACACATTGTTACAGTACATCTCATAAGGGGTACACATTGTTACAGTACAACTCATGAGGGGTACACATTGTTACAGTACATCTCATGAGGGGTACACATTGTTACAGTACATCTCATAAGGGGTACACATTGTTATAGTATATCTCATAAGGGGTACACATTGTTACAGCACATCTCATAAGGGGTACACATTGTTACAGCATATCTCATAATGGGTACACATTGGTACAGCACATCTCATAAGGGGTACACATTGTTACAGCACATCTCATAATGGGTACACATTGTTACAGTACATCTCATTAGTAGTACACATTGTTACAGCACATCTCATAACATCTCATAATGGGTACACATTGTTACAGCACATCTCATAATGGGTTCACGTTGTTATAGTATATCTCATAAGTAGTACACATTGTTGCAGCACACCTCATAAGGGGTACACATTGTTATAGTATATCTCATAAGTAGTACACATTGTTGCAGCAGAACTCTCATTACCACTGTAAATTTATTGACAATTATCTCTATTTCATGTACAATTTACTTTTGATTCATGAGACAAAGTGATGGCACGGGGAGACTAAGTGATGGCTCGGGGAGACAAAGTGATGGCACAGGGAGACAAAGTGATGGCACGGGGAGACTAAGTGATGGCGCGGGGAGACTGGTTGTTATATTACTGACATTAATTATGTGATATTTTCCCCTACAGCTGTACAAAGTGATGGCGCGGGGAGACTAAGTGATGGCACGGGGAGACTGGTTGTGATGTTACTGACTGCTAGGTATATTAATTATGTGATATTTTCCCCTACAGCTGTACAAAGTGATGGCGCGTGGAGACAGTAGTGGTAAGATAGTGAAGATCAGCACTTACTTCAGTAAAACTGGTGGGAGTGGCACTCTTGGCAGTGGTCTTGCTACTGGAGCCACTTCCTCCTCTACGTCCTCTTCCTCCACATCCCACAACCAGAAAGATGTCATAAAAAACATGTAAGATCTGTTCTATTGATATGTGACCCCTCTAATAACTGACTAATTTTTAGTTCTTAAAAGAAAGCTACAGACAATATGTTTGTTCTTCCTGCTATAGTCAAGTGTCTTCTTAGTTCATACTACTGTCTGTCCATTGTCTTCTTAGTTCATACTGCTGTCTGTTGATTGTCTTCTTAGTTCATACTGCTGTAGTCCATTGTCTTCTTAGTTCATACTGCTGTAGTCAATTTTCTTCTTAGTTCATACTACTGTCTGTCCATTGTCTTCTTAGTTCATACTGCTGTCTGTTGATTGTCTTCTTAGTTCATACTGCTGTAGTCCATTGTCTTCTTAGTTCATACTGCTGTAGTCCATTGTCTTCTTAGTTCATACTGCTGTCTGTTGATTGTCTTCTTAGTTCATACTGCTGTCTGTTGATTGTCTTCTTAGTTCATACTTCTGTCTGTCCATTGTCTTCTTAGTTCATACTGCTGTCTGTCCATTGTCTTCTTAGTTCATACTGCTGTAGTCAATTTTCTTCTTAGTTCATACTACTGTCTGTCCATTGTCTTCTTAGTTCATACTGCTGTCTGTTGATTGTCTTCTTAGTTCATACTGCTGTCTGTCCATTGTCTTCTTAGTTCATACTGCTGTAGTCAATTTTCTTCTTAGTTCATACTGCTGTCTGTTGATTGTCTTCTTAGTTCATACTGCTGTCTGTCCATTGTCATCTTAGTTCATACTGCTGTAGTCCATTGTCTTCTTAGTTCATACTGCTGTCTGTCCATTGTCTTCTTAGTTCATACTGCTGTCTGTCCATTGTCTTCTTAGTTCATACTGCTGTCTGTCCATGGTCTTCTTAGTTCATACTGCTGTCTGTCCATTGTCTTCTTAGTTCATACTACTGTCTGTCCATTGTCTTCTTAATTCATACTGCTGCTGTTGATTGTCTTCCTAGTTGATACTGCTGTTTGTCCATTGTCTTCTTAGTTCATACTGCTGTCTGTCCATTGTCTTCTTAGTTCATACTGCTGTCTGTCCATTGTCTTCTTAGTTCATACTGCTGTCTGTCCATTGTCTTCTTAGTTCATACTGCTGTCTGTCCATGGTCTTCTTAGTTCATACTGCTGTAGTCCATTGTCTTCTTAGTTCATACTGCTGTCTGTTGATTGTCTTCTTAGTTCATACTGCTGTCTGTCCATTGTCTTCTTAGTTCATACTGCTGTCTGTCCATGGTCTTCTTAGTTCATACTGCTGTAGTCCATTGTCTTCTTAGTTCATACTGCTGTCTGTCCATGGTCTTCTTAGTTCATACTGCTGTAGTCCATTGTCTTCTTAGTTCATACTGCTGTCTGTCCATTGTCTTCTTAGTTCATACTGCTGTAGTCCATTGTCTTCTTAGTTCATACTGCTGTCTGTCCATGGTCTTCTTAGTTCATACTGCTGTAGTCCATTGTCTTCTTAGTTCATACTGCTGTCTGTCCATTGTCTTCTTAGTTCATACTGCTGTCTGTCCATTGTCTTCTTAGTTCATACTGCTGTAGTCCATTGTCTTCTTAGTTCATACTGCTGTCTGTCCATTGTCTTCTTAGTTCATACTGCTGTCTGTCCATTGTCTTCTTAGTTCATACTGCTGTAGTCCATTGTCTTCTTAGTTCATACTGCTGTCTGTCCATTGTCTTCTTAGTTCATACTGCTGTCTGTCCATTGTCTTCTTAGTTCATACTGCTGTCTGTCCATTGTCTTCTTAGTTCATACTGCTGTCTGTCCATGGTCTTCTTAGTTCATACTGCTGTAGTCCATTGTCTTCTTAGTTCATACTGCTGTCTGTCCATGGTCTTCTTAGTTCATACTGCTGTCTGTCCATTGTCTTCTTAGTTCATACTGCTGTAGTCCATTGTCTTCTTAGTTCATACTGCTGTCTGTCCATTGTCTTCTTAGTTCATACTGCTGTAGTCCATTGTCTTCTTAGTTCATACTGCTGTCTGTCCATGGTCTTCTTAGTTCATACTGCTGTAGTCCATTGTCTTCTTAGTTCATACTGCTGTCTGTCCATTGTCTTCTTAGTTCATACTGCTGTAGTCCATGGTCTTCTTAGTTCATACTGCTGTAGTCCATGGTCTTCTTAGTTCATACTGCTGTCTGTCCATTGTCTTCTTAGTTCATACTGCTGTAGTCCATTGTCTTCATAGTTCATACTGCTGTCTGTCCATTGTCTTCTTAGTTCATACTGCTGTCTGTCCATTGTCTTCTTAGTTCATACTGCTGTCTGTCCATGGTCTTCTTAGTTCATACTGCTGTAGTCCATTGTCTTCTTAGTTCATACTGCTGTCTGTCCATTGTCTTCTTAGTTCATACTGCTGTCTGTTGATTGTCTTCTTAGTTCATACTGCTGTAGTCCATTGTCTTCTTAGTTCATACTGCTGTCTGTCCATTGTCTTCTTAGTTCATACTGCTGTCTGTTGATTGTCTTCTTAGTTCATACTGCTGTAGTCCATTGTCTTCTTAGTTCATACTGCTGTCTGTCCATTGTCTTCTTAGTTCATACTGCTGTTTGTCCATTGTCTTCTTAGTTCATACTGCTGTCTGTCCATTGTCTTCTTAGTTCATACTGCTGTCTGTCCATTGTCTTCTTAGTTCATACTGCTTTCTGTCCATTGTCTTCTTAGTTCATACATCTGTCTGTCCATGGTCTTCTTAGTTCATACTGCTGTAGTCCATTGTCTTCTTAGTTCATACTGCTGTCTGTCCATTGTCTTCTTAGTTCATACTGCTGTCTGTCCATTGTCTTCTTAGTTCATACTGCTGTAGTCCATTGTCTTCTTAGTTCATACTGCTGTCTGTCCATTGTCTTCTTAGTTCATACTGCTGTCTGTCCATTGTCTTCTTAGTTCATACTGCTGTTTGTCCATTGTCTTCTTAGTTCATACTGCTGTCTGTTGATTGTCTTCTTAGTTCATACTGCTGTCTGTCCATTGTCTTCTTAGTTCATACTGCTGTCTGTCCATTGTCTTCTTAGTTCATACTGTTGTCTGTCAAGTGTCGTCTTAGTTCATACTTTTGTAGTCAATTGTTTGCTAATTTTAACTGCTGTAGTTGTCTCCACAGACATTTACTATTGGTATAAAAATTTGACATTGCAGCAGAATTTCATTCTGACCTGTAATAATCCCACTTTCACTCTAATCCACTAACCCCCTTTAAAATATGTAAAATATTATTTAAACAGAAGTATGTGGATGTGCGAGTTTCATCGACCTGGTACTGAAGTATGCCTCACTAGATAATGTGTTAATAGCCAGATTTATCTTTGTATTAAGTTTGATCATAGAGAGTGTAGATGGCCCACAGCATCCTTCCAATGTCTTAGAATTTTACCTTTAAATGTGCTTGTTGTCTTTTTAGTTATAAAAGATTTGAATATATTCATTTAGTTCTCAAAAATGCTTATCTTAAATTAAGTACATAATTGAAATCATTTCTTTAATTTTGACAGAATAAAACGTGGTAAAATGTCAAAACACAAAAAGAAAATGAAGTCAGTGGACAGAAGGAAAGAGGAACGGTCGAAACTCAAACAGCAGGAACTGATAACATCAGATACTTCTCACCACAAACAGCCGGAACTGATAACAGCAGATACTTCTCACCACAAACAGCCGGAACTCACAACATCAGATACTTCTCACCACAAACAGCCTGAACTCACAACATCAGATACTTCTCACCACAAACAGCCGGAACTCACAACATCAGATACTTCTCACCACAAACAGCCAGAACTCACAACATCAGATACTTCTCACCACAAACAGCTGGAACTCACAACGTCAGATACTTCTCACCACAAACAGCCTGAACTCACAACGTCAGATACTTCTCACCACAAACAGTCGGAACTCTTAACATCAGATACTTCTCACCACAAACAGCCTGAACTCACAACGTCAGATACTTCTCACCACAAACAGCCTGAACTCACAACGTCAGCAGAGACGAGAGAAGCATCCTCAGGACTCCTGATAACTTCTTCTTGTTCTGGTGGTACTATTACACATTGTGATGTGTCTTCATCTTCTACCAATGAACCTTCTCTTACTGCGGACAGTGCTGAACAGATACAAGAGCTCAATTTAACAGTGATACCATGTAACTCCTTCTCTAATACCTCCGTCCTAGTGAAGAGGACTGAACCTTTGGTAACTACCTCCAATCCCTCAGATGAAGATCCTGGACAGGATGACGACTCCAATGACAGTATATTACCCTCCTGTAGTTTCATACAACAGAAAAGTGAGGAGTATAATAGTGACAAGATGTCAGACAGTGATGGTGATCAGTTTAGTCCTACACATCCAGACTTTGATAACCTTAGATTCATTGTCAGTGATTTGGACTCTGCCAGTGATGATAATCTGCCATTATTGTCCAGTACATGGAGAAGAAAATCACCGTGTAAGGTGTTTAAGGGGCTGGATACTGAAGACATACTAGACATACCTGTGATAGATTCAGATAGTGAGGACTGTCTCATAGCTTTGAAGCGACGAATGAGTAGAAAAAGAGTTCTACCAAAGTTCCCAGAAGAAGATATATCTGATGAAGAAGTCCCACATAAAAAACAAAAGTATATTACTGGAGGAAAATCTTCAAAACCAGAAAAGGAATTATTTCACCCTGAAACAACAAATACTTTTAAATCATCATCAGTTATAGAATTACCCTCTTTGTCATGTAGTAGAAGGAGGTCTCCACAGAAACTAAAACAGACTACACTGGAATTAAATGGTGGGAGTCTGTCCATCACCAAGTCACATGATCCCCAGCCTTCTCTATCTCAACAGGAGGCGGAGCAATGTATGATGATTTATGATGAAGGATTGAAACATTTACGATCTGACCTCAAACAGGAAATAATACATGCAGAGTGAGTATACATTTTCTAACTATTGTTGTAGTATTATATGTAGTATTATTGAGGGATGTTGTATAACTGTAGTAGGATGTTGTATTATTGAGGGATGTTGTATAACTGTAGTAGAATGTTGTATTATTGAGGGATGTTGTATAACTGTAGTACAATGTTGTATTATTGAGGGATGTTGTATAACTGTAGTAGAATGTTGTATTATTGAGGGATGTTGTATAACTGTAGTACAATGTTGTATTATTGAGGGATGTTGTATAACTGTAGTACAATGTTGTATTATTGAGGGATGTTGTATAACTGTAGTACAATGTTGTATTATTGAGGGATGTTGTATAACAAGTAGAATGTAGTATTATTGAGGGATGTTGTATAACTGTAGTAGAATGTTGTATTATTGAGGGATGTTGTATAACTGTAGTAGAATGTTGTATTATTGAGGGATGTTGTATAACTGTAGTAGAATGTTGTATTATTGAGGGATGCTGTATAACTGTAGTAGAATGTTGTATTATTGAGGGATGTTGTATAACTGTAGTACAATGTTGTATTATTGAGGGATGTTGTATAACAAGTAGAATGTAGTATTATTGAGGGATGTTGTATAACTGTAGTAGAATGTTGTATTATTGAGGGATGTTGTATAACTGTAGTAGAATATTGTATTATTGAGGGATGTTGTATAACTGTAGTAGAATGTTGTATTATTGAGGGATGTTGTATAACTGTAGTAGAATGTTGTATTATTGAGGGATGTTGTATAACTGTAGTAGAATGTTGTATTATTGAGGGATGTTGTATAACTGTAGTAGAATGTTGTATTATTGAGGGATGTTGTATAACTGTAGTAGGATGTTGTATTATTGAGGGATGTTGTACAACTAGTAGAATGTTGTATTATTGGGGGATATTGTATAACTGTAGTAGAATGTTGTGTTATTGAGGGATGTTGTACAACTGTAGTAGAATGTTGTATTATTGAGGGATGTTGTATAACTGTAGTAGAACGTTGTATTATCCTGTCAGGATAGTATTTTAACATTTTATATCTATAAAGTTAGATGTTCTATAATTATCTGATGGAGTGTTGTGTTGGTGCTATGTAGATGTTCTATAATTATCTGATGGAGTGTTGTGTTGGTGCTATGTAGATGTTGTATAATTATCTGATGGAGTGTTGTGTTGGTGCTATGTAGATGTTGTATAATTATCTGATGGAGTGTTGTGTTGGTGCTATGTAGATGTTCTATAATTATCTGATGGAGTGTTGTGTTGGTGCTATGTAGATGTTGTATAATTATCTGATGGAGTGTTGTGTTGGTGCTATGTAGATGTTCTATAATTATCTGATGGAGTGTTGTGTTGGTACTATGTAGATGTTGTATAATTATCTGATGGAGTGTTGTGTTGGTGCTATGTAGATGTTGTATAATTATCTGGAGTGTTGTGTTGGTGCTATGTAGATGTTGTATAATTATCTGATGGAGTGTTGTGTTGGTGCTATGTAGATGTTGTATAATTATCTGATGGAGTGTTGTGTTGGTGCTATGTAGATGTTGTATAATTATCTGATGGAGCGTTGTGTTGGTGCTATGTAGATGTTCTATAATCATCTGATGGAGTGTTGTGTTGGTGCTATGTAGATGTTGTATAATTATCTGATGGAGTGTTGTGTTGGTGCTATGTAGATGTTGTATAATTATCTGATGGAGTGTTGTGTTGGTGCTATGTAGATGTTGTATAATTATCTGATGGAGTGTTGTGTTGGTGCTATGTAGATGTTGTATAATTATCTGATGGAGTGTTGTGTTGGTGCTATGTAGATGTTGTATAATTATCTGATGGAGCGTTGTGTTGGTGCTATGTAGATGTTCTATAATTATCTGATGGAGTGTTGTGTTGGTGCTATGTAGATGTTCTATAATTATCTGGAGTGTTGTGTTGGTGCTATGTAGATGTTGTATAATTATCTGATGGAGTGTTGTGTTGGTGCTATGTAGATGTTGTATAATTATCTGATGGAGTGTTGTGTTGGTGCTATGTAGATGTTGTATAATTATCTGATGGAGTGTTGTGTTGGTGCTATGTAGATGTTCTATAATTATCTGATGGAGTGTTGTGGTGGTGCTATATAGATGTCAATTGATGTTTATTTTGAGATGTTAATTTGTTTGTTGTTTTTTTCTCAGAAGCGTAAAGGATTTAAATGAACAGCACATGTGGTTCCTTGTCCAAGACAATAAGAAATACCTGAGAAACATCTTTGAGGGGAAGGTGAGAGCATTTCAAATAGAATACCAAGTTTAAATTGGACCTAACACATGGTGAATGTGTCTTAAATGTCAACATCATGTCCCATTATCAAATAGAAGTCAAGATGATGATTTTCTAAACTTGTCAATTACACATAGTCTGCAGTTTGTTTGTCTCAGGTCTAAGGGTATTTCACTCAAGATGTTGATAACAGCTGATTTTGTCTTTATATACAGATTCCTTGTGAAAGACACAAGCAGTTCAAGCAAGGTGGCAGAGCTAGATGTAGGTATCAGAATCAGTGATTATTGTAGAACTCATCAGAAATTGTCAGATTTTATAAAGCTTTTATCACATTTTTGTCAGAACTAAAAAGAAATTATTAGTATGATAAAAAAAAAAAAATAGCAATCCTCTCTGTGGTGATGATTTCAGAATCCTTAAATTGTTTCTATGACAACTGATACTTTTTCTGTTGTGACCAACTCTAAAAATCCTTTCCATTCACTGCATTAAAATTCAACGGTTTTCCTTTTTGTGAAAAATATTGATATTCTGTCATGATTGTGACATAGATATTATATTCAATGGGAAATCATTAAACATCTGCTACCTATCAGTGGTGGTAATTTAAAAAATCTTATATCATAATGTAACTGTTTTGCTATTGACCAATCAAAATGCTGCTTTTTATTTAATGCTTTGAACACAATTTCCTGTACAGTAGTTGATAAAAGTATCGCTACAACATTTGTACATATAAGATTCCAACCAGAAAGCTATTTAGAAAGTGACAGAATTTATTAAAGAAAATGGCCAATTTTACGCAGTAGCCAATTTAAATTAGCACTGTGTTCTGGGTGAAAATAATAGATAAAAACCATAGATTTTTATACAGTAGCTGATTCCAATTAACATTGTTCTGAATGCAAATAAAAACAATGGAATTTTATAAATCTGATTTAAATTGTCATTCTTCTAATTGTAACATAATCTTCAATATAGTGTCATGCTGTTGATTTCCCTGCTTTGTAGACCGACATTTGGAGATACTCCAGCAGTTTGTATAGGTCCATCAAGACAAATGATTGATTCACTTCATTCAGTTTATTTAAGGTTTAGTACCGTACTCAGTGTATATCTTCTCATCGAGAATTTTATTGTTTACAGTCCGTCTCAACTACCAAGTTTATCTGAGTCTCTTCACAGATGAACAACAGGACATTGTCATGGAAGCATTGATGTCAATATTTTGTAAAAAGGATCATGGGGTGAGTAGGAGTTTAAGTCTCCATCAATGATCACAGGTCTCCATGTAAAAGGTCAAGGTCACTTCAGTAGATCAGCCAATGATAAAGTTTTACACAACCCTCAGGTCTCCAAGTAAAAGGTCAAGGTCACTTCAATAGGTCAGCCAATGATAAAGTTTTACACAACCCTCAGGTCTCCAAGTAAAAGGTCAAGGTCACTTCAATAGATCAGCCAATTATAAAGTTTTACACAACCCTCAGGTCTCCATGTACAAGGTCAAGGTCACTTTCATTAATCAGATGATCATAGTTCCTGGCATTTTATTGACAAAAGTAGACAAACTGAATGGAATATCACCAACATACCACTAACTTGTTTTTAACGTTTTAAGTCAAGGTCACCTTAACGCCGCTTACAAGCCCATAACCACTTAATAGAAAATCAATTAAATACCATTATTTTCTAGATGGTTGCCATCTTGAAAATATTCTTCTCTTCTGCTAAAAGAATTGTTGTATTTAAGACAGAACTTTCACTAATGAGTGTATGGTTTACAGATGGCCCTACAGAAATGTTCACGCATCAGATGGAAGATGGCCACCATCACAGCCATACAATACATTTACATTAAGTTTGACATCGTAGTGTGCCTCTTCCATGCCATAGTTTTTCAAATCCTTATGACATTTTGTCTTTGTTTCAGTTTCTTGATTATGTGATGAAAGTGATGTTGCCAGAGATGCTCATCAAAATATACATGAATGTCACAGGTTTGAATCATGACGAGGTAGACGGCATCATGGCTAGAGGAGGTGACAGATTTGAATCATGACGAGGTAGACAACATCATGGCTAGAGGAGGTGACAGATTTGAATCATGAAAAGGTAGACAACATCATGGCTAGATGAGGTCACTAGTTTGAGTCATGAAAAGGTAGACGACTAGACGACATCATGGCTAGAGGAGGTCACCGGTTGGAGTCATGAAAAGGTAGACGACATCATGACTAGAGGAGGTGATGGGTTTGAATCATGACGAGGTAGACAACATCATGGCTAGAGGAGGTCAAAGATTTGAATCATGAAAAGGTAGACGACATCATGGCTAGAGGAGGTATTTAGAGGATATGTCACAAGGATGTGGAGGATTTCATGGCTAGTGAGGATATATAGAGGATATCGTCACTAGGATGTGGTAGACTTCATGACTAGAGGAGGTGAATAGAGGACATCCTCACCAGGATGTGGAGGACTTCATAGCCAGATGATATTATCATAATGATATAGAGAACTTGATAGTTGTAGTATGATGTCACAAACTCAATGCAAGAGACGATTAAGGATTAAGTCAGGAGAACATGGTTACTTCGTGTTTGCTTGAGGTACTCTAGTGCATGTTCTGATCATTGTGATGTGTTTCTAGCATGCAACAACACACATACTAGAGTATTGATATATTTACAGAATTAGTGTTTTCAAGAAAACGGAAGAGAACAGGAAACATTACATTTTGTACTTGTTAGATTCTTACGGCAAAGGTAACACTTTAAACCCGGACCATGAGTTTTAGTAGTAAGTGACGTGTTTGACATTCCATGTAGAAGGAATATGATGTTTTGTTTATTACTTTCCTACCATTTTGATTGATTTGATGTCAGATGTTTGTGATGTACATAAAATCAGTTTTGATTAAAAGCGATGTGATATTCTTTTGTTACACTAAGAGAAATGCTGCGATGCTGTGTATTGTATTTTGTATTCAGAATCCACCAGACCCAACAGAGCAATTTTTTGGAAGTTAAAGATTGAATTGTTTTAATTATTTCAGAAATCAGATAATTTCCTTTTTGATTAAAAAAAATAACTTTGTTTGGTCAACTTAAAAATTAGAATTCAGTCAAGTAGTGAAAATATACAAACCAATGGACTTTGATAGTCCCAGTCAATGATAACCCCTAATGAAAGTTTATATTTTTGATAACAAAAACTTGTATCCATTGTCCACGGTGGCCATGAAGACACGTTCATGGTTAATATTTCAGCATAATAATTTAGTCATTTTACTCTAAAAATAGCGTGGCGTCCGTCTGTCCGGCGTCCGTCAACTTTTCATTTACACAACTTCTTCTGAAATACCGAAAGGCGTAGAGTTATCATATTTGGCTGGAATGTTCCCTTGATGAAGCCAAACAAAGTTTGCAAAGATAAATGACCTTGTTCCATATTCAAGGTCACAGAGGTCAAATGTGTTAAAACCTTTAAACGACTTCTTCCAAAATACCAGAAGGCCTAGAATCATTTTATTTGGCTGGAAGGTTCCTTTGATGAAGCTTAACAAAGTTTGCGAAAAAAAATAACCTTGACCCATATTCAAGGTCACTGAGGTCAAATGTATTTTTAAAAATTTAAGCGACTTCTATCAAAATACCAGAAGGCCTAGAATCATTATATTAGGCTACTATGTTCCTCTATGGTGTCCTACAAAGTTTGCTAAAAGAAATGACCTTAACCAATCTTCAAGGTCATAGGAGTCAAATATGTTAAAAGGTTTAAACAAATTCTTCTGAAATATCGAAAAGCCTAGAATCATTATATTTGGCCAGTATATTCCTTTATGAAGTCCAAGAAAGTAACAGAAATGACCTTGACCCATAGTCATGGTCACATGGGTCAAATGTGTTAAATGTGGAACATATGCACAGAGCCTCTGGGCCTCATGTTTTTTTTCTTGTGTTGTTTTTGGAATGGTGCCTTTATTACAGTATGTTAAGGAAAGTTGGTTACAGAATCAATCTTGTATAGATACCTCTTGTGTAACACTGTATGAGAAATCATGCAACTATTAAAGCCAAGAAGGGAAATGTTATTTGCTTTTTATAATTTCATTTAAAGTTGTGAGATTAAGAAATGTGTAACATTGACCTTCTTGAATGAGCCTAACAACATGACTATTGGTCATCAAAGATAGCAGACAGAGACACTTCAGTTTGTAGTTCTTTGTTCCACAAATCACTTCTTTTGGAGTTCTAGACAAATGTTTATACATGAGGAGTGTACATATCCTAGATGATGATGAGGAGTGTACATATCCTAGATGATGATGAGGAGTGTACATATCCTTGATCATGATGAGGAGTGTACATATCCTTGATCATGATGAGGAGTGTACATATCCTTGATCATGATGAGGAGTGTACATATCCTTGATCATGATGAGGAGTGTACATATCCTTGATCATGATGAGGGGTGTACATATCCTAGATGATGATGAGGAGTGTACATATCCTTGATCATGATGAGGAGTGTACATATCCTTGATCATGATGAGGAGTGTACATATCCTTGATCATGATGAGGAGTGTACATATCCTTGATCATGATGAGGAGTGTACATATCCTAGATGATGATGAGGAGTGTACATATCCTAGATGATGATGAGGAGTGTACATATCCTTGATCATGATGAGGAGTGTACATATCCTAGTTGATGATGAGAAGTGTACATATCCTTGATCATGATGAGGAGTGTACATATCCTTGATCATGATGAGGAGTGTACATATCCTTGATCATGATGAGGAGTGTACATATCCTAGATGATGATGAGGAGTGTACATATCCTTGATCATGATGAGGAGTGTACATATCCTAGATGGTGATGAGGAGTCTACATATCCTAGATGATGATGAGGAGTGTACATATCTGAGATGATGATGAGGAGTGTACATATCCTAGATGATGATGAGGTCGTACATATCTATATGAAAATGTAAATCAATTATACAGCAACACAGTCTCCTTTATCTCTGATGTGTTTTATTTATTAAAGTTTCAAATATTGAAAAGTTGTAGATATTTTTACTAAAACCAAGTTTACAAGGATGGCATTGGCTGAATAAGGTAAAATTAGAACAAATTCTTTAAATTCCTAGGTAAGCAATACAGGCCCTATGGGCATCTTGTCAATGATTTCCCTGTAAATCCCTGCTTTTGACTTATAATCATGGATTTTGATAACTCCTCTTGATACATCAAGCTATCTCTCTTACTGGTGATGACAGGTACAAATTATGATCTATGAAGAGTGAATTATAAGTGAAATATAATTATTAACAGTAAGTGGTTTCGCTTTTACTGGTGATAAAGTGAATTACTCAAAACATAATTATTACCAGTAAGTGATTTGGTTGAGTTTATTCTGTCAAAGTGTTTCACCCTCTCATAGAGACTTTATCACTACAAATTCACAAGACATCATGATCTACACACACTTTCATTTCATGAACAAATCCTTCTACACTGACTACCACATGGAAATCACAACCACAAATAAATAATTAAAATAAATTAAATAAATACATGTAGATTTAAATCATCTTACAACCACTAGACTTTAATTATAACAAGTCTGTAAGATAATAAGTGTTAACAATACATGTGTACAAGTGTTTCTCTACAGACGTATATAAACGTATATATATAGGGACCACAGTGGAAATAAGTCTTCGGACTTTACTGTGTTATCCTGGTTCAACAAAATTGTTACTTTACATGTTTGTATGTATTTTAATATTGTGTTTTACCAAATTAAAAAATCTAAAAAATCTAAATCTAAAATAAACATTATAATGAGCTGCTGCCTTTGTTTCTCACAGATTTCTTCATCTCTCATTACATTCATTTATACCCTTAAAATTTATAACAGTTTCAAATTATTTAAACAACAACAGTCATGAGACATACTACATTATTTTCATATATATAGGAAACAACGGTGCCAACCACCATCAGCTGACCACCATAACATAAGCGGTCGACTGACCACTATAACATCAGGGGTCGTCTAACAACCATAACATCAGGGGTCGTCTGACCACCATAACATCAGGGGTCGTCTAACAACCATTACATCAGGGGTCGTCTAACAACCATAACATCAGGGGTCGTCTGACCGCCATAACATCAGGGGTCGTCTAACAACCATAACATCAGGGGTTGTCTGACCACCAAACCATCAGGGGTCGTCTGACCACCATAACATCAGGGGTTGTCTGACCGCCATAACATCAGGGGTCGTCTAACAACCACAACATCAGGGGTCGTCTAACCACCAAACCATCAGGGGTTGTCTGACCACCATAACATCAGGGGTCGTCTGACTACCATAACATCAACACCAACTTATTGAGATATTAAATTTGTAATGCCCAGAGTATTTCTCCTGCGTCTTGTCCTAATGTAATACCATCACTCTGAATCAGTGTATTCATTGCCATTCTCGAAGTATTCATAGTCACTGTCATTGAATTCATTTTCATTCTCGCTATCCCCTGGTGTGTAGAGATGATTTTTCTTCACTGGAACAGAAAAAGTTCTGATGTACTCTATATTTTATACAGCTGGTAAAAGTACATTCAAACACCACATTAAGTAATTCCTGAGAAATGATCATGTATCCTGTGTGTTATTGAGTACCTGTATCCTGTGTGTTATTGAGTACCTGTATCCTGTGTGTTACTGAGTACCTGTATCCTGTGTGTTACTGAGTACCTGTATCCTGTGTGTTACTGAGTACCTGTACCCTGTGTGTTACTGAGTACCTGTATCCTGTGTGTTACAGAGTACCTGTACCCTGTGTGTTACTGAGTACCTGTATCCTGTGTGTTACAGAGTACCTGTACCCTTTGTGTTACTGAGTACCTGTATCCTGTGTGTTACTGAGTACCTGTATCCTGTGTGTTACTGAATACCTGTACCTGTGTGTTACTGAGTACCTGTATCCTGTGTGTTACAGAGTACCTGTACCCTGTGTGTTACTGAGTACCTGTATCCTGTGTGTTACAGAGTACCTGTACCCTGTGTGTTACTGAGTACCTGTATCCTGTGTGTTACGGAGTACCTGTATCCTGTGTGTTACTGAGATCTAGACCTGACCACAATCTGTGTTCTGGTGGCACGAGGAGGACACCGCCCTACGAAACTGCAAAGAAGTCTGTGTATTGAATACTCTGGTACTCAAACCTAATCATCCTATCAAGAGCTTAGATGCTGTATATAATGTCCTATCTTCCAGGAACTTTGTTTTACACTTAAATCCTAAAATATAGAAGTATGTATGAAGACTAATAAAGCTTCTTTTAACTTGACTCTATAAGTCTTACCTCTGTAACAGTGACATCACACGTACTCTTCATCAAAAAATCACAAGGCTTACCTCTGTAACAGTGACGTCACACCTACTCTTCATCAAAAAATCACAAGGCTTACCTCTGTAACAGTGACGTCACACCTACTCTTCATCATAATAAACACAAGCCTTACCTTCGTAACAGTGACATCATACATACTCTTCATCAAAAAATCACAAGGCTTACCTCTGTAACAGTGACGTCACACCTACTCTTCATCAAAAATTCACAAGTCTTACCTCTGTAACAGTGACATCATACGTATTCTTCATCATAATAAACACAAGCCTTACCTTTGTAACAGTGACATCATACATACTCTTCATCAAAAAATCACAAGGCTTACCTCTGTAACAGTGACGTCACACCTACTCTTCATCAAAAATTCACAAGTCTTACCTCTGTAACAGTGACATCACACGTATTCTTCATCATAATAAACACAAGCCTTACCTTTGTAACAGTGACATCATACATACTCTTCATCAAAAAATCACAAGGCTTACCTCTGTAACAGTGACGTCACACCTACTCTTCATCAAAAATTCACAAGTCGTACCTCTGTAACAGTGACATCACACGTACTCTTCATCATAATAAACACAAGCCTTACCTTTGTAACAGTGACATCATACATACTCTTCATCAAAAAATCACAAGCCTTACCTCTGTAACAGTGACATCACACCTCCTCTTCATCAAAAAATCATAGAAGGATCTTTAACATACAACAGTCCTAACATGACAGGATCTACTACTGTATTTTTACAATCTATGTTACTTCTATATGGTAATACTGAGACCTACCATCCTGTATATGTTTAACAGGGTCGTATTTGAGGACCATATCCTTGGCCTCAGGATGATCCTTCAGATACTGTTTCCTGGCTTCATTGGCGGCTGCCTCCATTTCCTTAACATGTAGTACTGCAGCCTCTTCATGATTATCACAGTCACTAAAAAGGAACGTGGTGAGATTTTATATCCCTTCATGTTCAGTAATAAAGATTTCTCACCTGTGGGATAATGATATATTGGTATGATGTATAGACAAACATCCATAGGGCTGTAGAGAAAGACACAAACTGGTAGTCCAGGGTGTGTGGGTACCTAAATTTGCCACTTTCATTAAGCTTTTAAGTGGTTGGATGAATGGAGTTGGCATTCTTTCATGGATATTGTGTGGATAATTTCTGCAACCTTTCTCGTCTTCATACACTTGGTTTATAAAGACTATAAGTCATTTGTCAGATTTCTAATGGTTCACAGTTAATTCCACTTACGTTCTGTTGAAATGGTAGTAGTCGATATCCTCTGCCCGACAAACATAACACTGAGTGGCACCACAGGTGCATGTCATTTTGTTACAGCCTGCCTCCTTGATGAACCTCTTGTGACACCTATGACACTTCCTCAGCATTGCCTCTGTGACACGTGTCTCGATGTATGTCCTCATGTCAGTCTCACCCTGCTTCTCCACCTCATTACAACGCAGGGGAATATGACTTGGCTCACCACACAATCTACAGAAAAAGTTATATATAAATGAGCACATGCTGATTCTATCACTGAAAATAACATGTATAAATTGAGGTAACACAACAATTGGTCGATGTAAATGGTATTTCTTTCACTCTCCTAAATATTTTTTTCAAACTTTACAAAAAATTCGAGCTTCAGTGGGTGTTTTTTTGTAATTTTTGAAAACCAACTAAAGAGAGTAAAAGAAGTACCAATATAACAACCATGACTTTGTATGACCTGCTTCTACCACAATAAAAGAGCTGTTCTAAGGAAAAACTGACTAGTGACATCAGTTATAGTTCTCAACCAATCAAAAGACTGGAAGGTCATAAACTACTAGTTGTGTATACAAATGTATCATACATTTATCCAACCATCAGAGCATTTACAGAACGGTCGGAAAGTGAAAGTACATTCTTTATTGTGGTAGAGGACATTACATCAGCCATAATTCTGAAGAAGGGGAGGGTAACTCAATTTGGGAGGCAAGATTTCTATAAACATTATCGAGAAACTGATATGGCAATCATATACAAAATTAAAAAATGCTTGAGAAATACACAATTAAACATTATGCTTGAGGAATTTTTCAGACCACATAGGTATAAGACACTACAGATCTCATTGAAACGCTATAGAAAAGGCAATTTTAACATCAATACTACATAATTTCTTGAAACATTCTGAATCTACAGGATTTCTTCAGACACTTTGAATTAAGACACTTACCTACAGGATTCTTTTGGACATTCCGGGTTAAGACACCTACAGGATTTCTTCAGACACTTAGAATTAAGACATTTACCTACAGATTCCTTTAGACATTCTGGATTAAGACACCTACAGGATTACTTCAGACACTTAGAATTAAGACACTTACCTACAGGATTCCTTTAGACACTCTGGATTAAGACACTTGAAAACTTTATCATCAGGATTAGAGATGATAGTAGCAAAGCTACAGAATGGACAGCTAACCAGGTCTGGTATGGCTGCCTGTTTGACCTCCTCTTCCTGCATTCTCCTCAACAAGATGGAGAACATGTTTGGAGACATGACAGCCTGTAGTACAGGAAGTGGGAAATGATAAACACAATTATCTGATAAACATGGAAAAGAAGATTTCCCATCTCCTATAACCACTTCAGATGATCTCCTCACACACTCCTTACAGAAAAGGTGGCCATCCTGACAAGATGTCATGTCCTCAAACAGACATTCATCATCAAAACAGCATTCACAAGAAAGCAGCTCGTCATTGGCTTTAGCCTCTTCTAGTCTTAACTCCCTCAACATCTTCTGTTCCTTCAGGTGATCTGTAATAGTAATGTACCATTAGAGAATCACTACCATTGTGACATATGAGTTTACATTCAACAGCATATCAATTACTAATTAACAGTTAAAATAAAACCTTGATGAAGCCATTCAAAACACCTCAAGACTATCAACTGTTATAAATCATATGTATTTTATAGATTCACCTCATCTAGACTACCACACAACAAATTCTTACAGTACAGACATCCACACAACAAATTCTTACAGTACAGACATCCACACAACAAATCCTTACAGTACAGACATCCACACAACAAATTCTTACAGTACAAACATCCACACAACAAATCCTTACAGTACAGACATCAACACAACAAATCCTTACAGTACAGACATCCACACAACAAATCCTTACAGTACAGACATCCACACAACAAATTCTTACAGTACAAACATCCACACAACAAATCCTTACAGTACAGACATCCACACAAATCCTTACAGTACAGACATCCACACTACAAATCCTCACAGTACAGACATCCACACAACAAATCCTTACAGTACAGACATCCACACAACAAATCCTTACAGTACAGACATCCACACAACAAATCCTTACAGTACAGACATCCACACAACAAATCCTTACAGTACAGACATCCACACAACAAATCAGTACAGACATCCACACAACAGATTCTTACAGTACAGACATCCACACAACAAATCCTTACAGTACAGACATCCACACAACAAATCCTCACAGTACAGACATCCACACAACAAATCAGTACAGACATCCACACAACAAATCCTTACAGTACAGACATACACACAACAAATCCTTACAGTACAGACATCCACACAACAAATCCTCACAGTAGACATCCACACAACAAATCCTCACAGTACAGACATCCACACAACAAATCAGTACAGACATCCACACAACAAATCCTTACAGTACAGACATCCACACAACAAATCCTTACAGTACAGACATACACACAACAAATCCTTACAGTACAGACATCCACACAACAAATCCTCACAGTACAGACATCCACACAACAAATCAGTACAGACATCCACACAACAAATCAGTACAGACATCCACACAACAAATCCTTACAGTACAGACATACACACAACAAATCCTTACAGTACAGACATCCACACTACAAATCCTTACAGTACAGACATCCACACATCAAATCCCTACAGTACAGACATCCACACAACAAATTCTTACAGTACAAACATCCACACAACAAATCCTCACAGTACAGACATCCACACAACAAATCCTCACAGTACAGACATCCACACAACAAATCCTTACAGTACAGACATTCACACAACAAATCAGTACAGACATCCACACAACAAATCCTTACAGTACAGACATCCACACAACAAATCAGTACAGACATCCACACTACAAATCCTTACAGTACAGATATCCACACAACAAATCCTTACAGTACAAACATCCACACAACAAATCCTTACAGTACAGACATCCACACAACAAATCCTCACAGTACAGACATCCACACAACAAATCCTCACAGTACAGACATCCACACAACAAATCCTTACAGTACAGACATTCACACAACAAATCCCTACAGTACAGACATCAACACAACAAATCCTTACAGTACAGACATCCACACAACAAATCCTTACAGTACAGACATCCACACAACAAATCCTCACAGTACAGACATCCACACAACAAATCCTCACAGTACAGACATCCACACAACAAATCCTTACAGTACAGACATCCACACATCAAATCCCTACAGTACAGACATCCACACAACAAATTCTTACAGTACAAACATCCACACAACAAATCCTCACAGTACAGACATCCACACAACAAATCCTCACAGTACAGACATCCACACAACAAATCCTTACAGTACAGACATTCACACAACAAATCAGTACAGACATCCACACAACAAATCCTTACAGTACAGACATCCACACAACAAATCAGTACAGACATCCACACTACAAATCCTTACAGTACAGATATCCACACAACAAATCCTTACAGTACAAACATCCACACAACAAATCCTTACAGTACAGACATCCACACAACAAATCCTCACAGTACAGACATCCACACAACAAATCCTCACAGTACAGACATCCACACAACAAATCCTTACAGTACAGACATTCACACAACAAATCCCTACAGTACAGACATCCACACAACAAATCCTTACAGTACAGACATCCACACAACAAATCCTTACAGTACAGACATCCACACAACAAATCCTCACAGTACAGACATCCACACAACAAATCCTCACAGTACAGACATCCACACAACAAATCCTTACAGTACAGACATCCACACAACAAATCCTCACAGTACAGACATCCACACAACAAATCCTTACAGTACAGACATCCACACAACAAATCCTCACAGTACAGACATCCACACAACAAATCCTTACAGTACAGACATCCACACAACAAATCCTTACAGTACAGACATCCACACAACAGATTCTTACAGTACAGACATCCACACAACAAATCCTTACAGTACAGACATCCACACAACAAATCCTTACAGTACAGACATCCACACAACAAATCCTTACAGTACAGACATCCACACAACAAATCTTTACAGTACAGACATCCACACAACAAATCAATACCGACATCCACAGAACAAATCCTTACAGTACAGACATCCACACAACAAATCAGTACAGACATCCACACTACAAATCCTTACAGTACAGACATCCACACAACAAATCCTTACAGTACAAACATCCACACAACAAATCCTTACAGTACAGACATCCACACAACAAATCCTCACAGTACAGACATCTACACAACAAATCCTTACAGTACAGACATCCACACTACAAATCCTCACAGTACAGACATCCACACTACAAATCCTTACAGTACAGACATCTACACAACAAATCCTTACAGTACAGACATCCACACTACAAATCCTCACAGTACAGACATCCACACTACAAATCCTTACAGTACAGACATCCACACAACAAATCCTTACAGTACAGACATCCACACTACAAATCCTCACAGTACAGACATCTACACAACAAATCCTCACAGTACAGACATCCACACAACAAATCCTTACAGTACAGACATCCACACAACAAATCCTTACAGTACAGACATCCACACTACAAATCCTCACAGTACAGACATCTACACAACAAATCCTTACAGTACAGACATCCACACAACAAATCCTTACAGTACAGACATCCACACTACAAATCCTCACAGTACAGACATCCACACTACAAATCCTTACAGTACAGACATCCACACAACAAATCCTTACAGTACAGACATCTACACCAAAAGACTCTAACAAATATGTTAGTACTTTGGATTTCTTCTTGGTGTTGTAAGTAAAGCATCTCGTTGAAGAAGAGTTCTTCTGGTTCCTCTGGGAGGGGGAGTAAAGGTCTCTGTGTTGGAAGGAACAGTTCTGACATAAAATCTGAAACCAAAACAATTTAACTGTGTCAGAATTTACTGTAATATCTGTAATCAACACTAGACCACAACTCAACAGTGATTGTTTCTTAAACAATGATGAGAACAACGATCATTAGTTCCTAAAACAGATACCGGTCAGTGGTAATACATCAAGGTCACAGATACCGGTCAGTGGTAATACTCATATCAAGGTCACAGATACCAGTCAGTGGTAATACATCAAGGTCACAGATACCGGTCAGTGGTAATACTCATATCAAGGTCACAGATACCGGTCAGTGGTAATACATCAAGGTCACAGATACCGGTCAGTGGTAATACTCACATCAAGGTCACAGATACTGGTCAGCGGTAATACTCACATCAAGGTCACAGATACTGGTCAGTGGTAATACTCACGTCAAGATCACAGATACCGGTCAGTGGTATTAATCACATCAAGGTCATACATTTTAATCATACTATCTTCAAGGACAATAATAATTGCCGAACACTCCATCAAACATATTCCAGCTAGATCACAGACTGTACATATGTGTATTAATTTATACACCGTTTTCATTTCAAGGTGAATGATGTTTCAATGGCCAAAAATAGCTGCACGAAGGTCACAAACATTTATGTGTGATATTTCTATTGTTTACATTTTCAGTAGTACACACGTACCTAAACATTTAGGCCCACAATTTTTCTCCAATCACTAATATTGATCAATTGCACCAATATAAATAAATAAGGTGACAGCTACCATCAGTAACATTGAACGACTTACCTCCAAGGTCACTGATGTTGGTAAGCACTGTTCTTTTACAAAGAGTCAGACAAAAGTTATTTGCTTCCAGTATCTGCTGCAAGTATTCCTCAGATAATTCTCTGAAGTCATTCTGAAGTTGAACAGAAACATGATTTTTGTAATTTTTTGATACTACTTTTTCCTTATCACAAAAAAACAACTCTGGATCTGAAAACTTTGCCAAAAATTCTTTCAAATCAAATGTTGCCGTAACAATATTCTGTCTCCTTTTGAGCTTTCTCTCATTATCTAACACTTCTTTCAACTTTGGGTAGTCTTTTTTCTCAAGCATTGATATTGCCAGATTTTTAACCCGATCCTTTTCATCCTTCCTGTCCTCCAGAGCACTGTACAGATAGTTTGGATCACAGTCTGGGAATATATCTTTCAATTCTTGTAATTCCTTCTGCAGTTCTCCCACACCTGGTATGGAAAGTATCTTTGACCCTGTGTCCCTGACCTCACTCCCATCATGCTCGGTATCATCAGGGTCTGCCATATCATTCATGAGCTCCTCTATTACTACTTTAATCCGGTTCTTTTTATCATAGTGAGCTTCTAAGAAGGCATAGATCTCATTAGGATCCTTATGTGGAAGCACTTTCTTCACAATTCGCATGTCCTTAAACAATGGATCATTGCTGACTGTGGGGTCTTGAGGGATAGAATCATCTTTCTTGAGATAAGCCCTAGTATCATTTTTAAGAATGCTTACAACATGCTTCACTCTATCTTCTTGACCTTGACCTTGGGCATCTGACATCAGTCTTCTCACCTCATCGGGATTTGCCTCTGGCATTTGTGTAATAACCATCCTTACATCCTCCTCCAGTGAGAATGGTTTCGGATGATAAACCAGTCGAAGAACTTTAGTGAATACTCTGTCGACACGGTCTGGTCGGTTCCCTTCCTGACGTAGTAAGCCTTGAATTTCTTCAGCTGTTAATGGTAAGGATTCCATGTTAGCCATAGCTTTATCTATCAAATTAACAAAATCTGCCAGTAACAATGAACTTGTGTCCTCCTGTTCTACACTTCTTGTCTCTTGAAGAATCTCATTCATTACAACATCCACTCTATTTGGATTTCTTCTTTTCCTCTTCAAACTTTCATATATCTTTTCAACTTCTCTATCATGGATGATACTGGCTATCAACTTTGCATCTTTAAAGACAGATTCGATTTTCATCAATGTTGGTATCTTCTGTTGCGATTCTGCGTCATCTAGAACACTAATCTGATCTACTTCCACCGTACCATTTTTCTGTTTGCTGACCTCCAGTAGACTTGCATCACCTTGGTCAAGCCCCAGGGAGTCCAAATCAGATCCCATACTGTACTCCACTGTGCTTTGGCTCTCTGTTTTCTTTTCAGCATTGTTCTTGCCAATTGGATCACTTTCTGCGGTAAACTCATCTCCTTCACTCAGGCGTAATTTTTTAGCAGGTATGTCATCATGGTCAGAGAGCTCATCCATTTCTCTAAAAATGACAAAAGGAACAACAATAAATGTTTATGTTTATTGGTAAGAAATAGATTAATACTAATTCAAACAATAACAGACCTAACCATTGTGTAACAGGATTGAATTTTTTAAGCGGCTGATATACTTTTCCATTTAGACAGGCAAGAAAGCTTATTGTAACTCCCTAAATATCTACCATTGTGTAAGGTCATGTAAGTTTGGATTGTTTTAATTGGTTTTGCTCTTTGTGCTGTAAATTTTCATGATATATATATATATATTTGTGATTTGTCAATAAAACCTTACTGGAAATCATTTATTTCCAGCGATATGCGTGCCATTTACTTCATGAAAACATAAGCCAAACTGAACCTTAGTTGAATCACATTAACAGGATGGTATTGATAACCAAACCATATTACTCAAGTACATACATTTATAAAATGATATAATGTTGTCATTCTAGACATTTGAGGCATCAGGAGGACAGACATGATAAATCTGAGTTTCTTTTATGAAAAATGACGATATCAAATTAAAGTTCCAACAATGACACCATAATGTAATGAGTGACACATACGTTAAAAATTTTCAACCAGAAGGCATGTTTATGGTATTCAATGATTGGTCACCCTTGAAATTAGAGATGTTTGTGTACTTAGATCTGTTTTGACATTTTTTGACTACTGCTAAAAATTTCTTAAAATTTCATCATTCTGCAATGGTGGTTTATTTTTTAAACTGAGCAACTAAGTAGCTCCAAGTTGCTCTTGGGAAGCTCAACTATGATTTTATACTTCACAGATGATCCAACCATGACAGCTGTTTTTGTTTTTTTGTAATTGAGTTGAGTACATCAGAGTAAATCCAAGCACAGGAGCTCATTTCTTTTAGCTTATAACAAAAGATAACGTCAAGTCCAGCACAAAAATAACATATACATGAATTGTCATTCTACTTTGATGGGATGTTGTTGGTAGCAACAACACATGGAATATGTCCACATATGATTTTAACAAAATATCAACATACCACAAAAAGTATGTCATATATACTTAGCAAATGGTTTAAATTGTTATTTTGTTTTTCAGCATTTCGTTACTTAGCAAATTATTGAAGTATACCTACCATCACTGATTAGATGTAAATAAATATATATCTACATCCGTGCTGCTATGTCTTTATCCAGTGTTAGAAATTAATTGATCGTTTTTTCTTTTTATTAACTTTGGTATGCAGAAGGCAAAAACTGACGATGTGAACTATAAAACTTATTTACTATCAAAATGAATTTTCATAATCACCGATACACTTCCGTAATTATCAAATAGACTATTAATTCCTTATATCCGGTCCTCCGGTGGTCTTAATAGTGAGGTTTCACCTGTTTGTTGTACATTATGACAACAATAAGCAGACAATCTGTTCGCACAGCAGGTTCTGACGATATTCTGATTGTTATATGTACACCATAGTATGTCATGATCAGCCAATACGAAATAACTTCATTATTTACCGTTCTTATAACTTAAGCAGCAAATGACACTTAATGATACCACGTTAGAATGTATAGAATCAAGAAAGCACCTGTGTTTGTCACCCACTGTCAGCTTTCTTCGACAAGACAGTAACTGTCAATTACCTTGATTTACCTGTCGACGGGCTTGTCAACACGCTGACATTGCAACTCTTCCGTAAACAAAGGAAGGGGGACCACTCTGACAATTATCAGCACTCTTATCTGCCCGCCAGAATTCAAAGGCACTCTGACAATAATTTTAAATGGTTTAATTTCCGGTTCATGTCACATTTTCCTTCCAAAGACAGTTCTATGATACGGAATAACTCCTACTATTTGCAAAAACGTTAAGACGAATTGCTACTAAATTGGTGAAATAGATAAATCTTTCCACGATACCAGAGGGCGCCATATTACCGGAAGTGTGTTTGTTTGGTTTACCGAAATTGACATGTCTGACATTCCAAAATTCTGATTTTCATTCTCTGATACGGAGTGTTAAGCATGATAACATGGATGGTGAGTGCATTAAGTATTATTAATTTACACACTCCATACATGTGATACACAGTGAACATCAGTCATGTCGGCACAGTACGGGTTTGACATGAACCCAAACACTCATTTAGTTTTACTAGTTTGTCGCGGAAGAAATTAATCGGAACCAGGACCTACCCGCTTATCGTTTTATCAACCAGTGTGTCGTTTACTTTCCATACATTCTATAACTTCTTGTAGTTTCAGATTTAGAGCATTCTATCGAAGACTTCCATTTCCCTTATCTAGAAAAGAGGCCAATGATAATTGATTAATATTGTGATCCTACTAGAAATTATTCCGGTATCAATTATTGTAAGGTAGTATGGTACTATCAGCTGATTATTATAATAGGACCTTGCTGATATTGCCTAAGTAGCTAAGGTGTAATATCAGTAGCTAGTCCAAGCCAGGTGTAGAAACTTGGTTTATCGGAAACTAGGCTTACTACTGAAACAGGTGTAGTTTAGATAATTGAAATTTTAACCTGCACACTTGATTTGAAATCATTGTGGAAGCACATGACTATTTTTTTATCCCGGATGGACGCTACCACACTCTTCTTTACTTGATGAGTTTATGTATAATATAACAAGCAAATAACTACATAAACCAGGGACGTATGATATATACGTCCCTGCATACACTATTTATAGGTATAAAATGCACATTTGTTGCTAATGTGTGCAATCTATGTTTTAATTTGTTATAAAAACATTATGCTGCACTTTGCATATTTTCAGTATATCTATATCTTAGAGAGAGGAGTAATAATGGAATTTCAGTGGCAATCAAGACAACACAAAATTTACCAAATATACTAAACATGGGAACAATGATCATAAATTGTAATTACATGATAAAACTATTTTTTTAAGTAAATTATACTCTGTATATGTATATAAAAAACAAACTCTCTTATCTGTGAATGTGATGGCTATGTTCAAAATAAAACTGCCATTGGCTGCTTTCAGCCAAAGTCTTTCAAAATCATTTCTGAGATAGACTGGTTGGGTTTGATTTAATTTGACCACGGCATACTCAGAGACAAAATTTCATATTTTGAAATTGTGTGTTTTAGTTCATTTGGTCCCTGATTGTGTCGTAACAGGTTTGCACTGTATTAAAGCAAACAGAATGAGAATTTGTGTAAATCATAACATCAAAAGAAGATAAACCCAGTGAAGTAATAAAATTGTAACCCCAGCATAAATCTCAGTGAACAGCAAACACACTTTAACATTTAACCAATACTCTGCATAAAATCTCTGCTCCAGTGACCATTCAGTTGTGGATTTCCTGATGCACTATAGATGCTTAGTTTGGCAGGGAATATTCCCACCAATTTTGCTTGTCCAAACTGACTACAGAAGAGATATTTGATGCTAACAATGGTTTCAAAAGTCATTGGAATGAGTTCTTAAATGGTACAGAACAGCCTGAAATTTTTAACTTGTGCGGAATATCCTTTTAAGTATCACAATTTTAGCTCACCTTGCGGAGACAGGAGTTTATGTTGACACCTCAGTATTAGGGTTGACTTGACTTGCATTGTTTTTTAAATGTTAAGTTTTTGGTGCAAGTGTTGAAAAGCATCAGTTAACTCCTTTTAAGTGTGCTAGGGATGTTATTTATTACTTCCAAAAGTCTTTATAAAAAATTTTTCAAAAAGAAAAAGTCAGGGTGTACAATATGTTGTATATTAGGGTATAGTAGGTGAATGCACCCCATAATGCTTTGGTTGTGGTTTATTGGTAAACAATGTGAGGTGAGTTTTTTGTATAGTTGGTAGTGCTCTTGTTTTATGGTGACATGTACAAAGAGTGACATCGATTTAAAAGGGGTCATGTGTCAAACATTTGTCTGTATGTTGTACCATAATGAGCATGTATCTGTAGTTATGTTGAGGATTATAGTAGGGTACAGTAACAATTAGTTTTATATTTATTGCACTTTAAATCAAATTTTATATATAATGTAAACAAGAGTATGAAATATAGATATGTGATTAAAAAATAATGGATATGTATTTCGTTATATGATAAGTAGAATTTCTATAACATTTAATCAATATGTGCTTATTACAATTTAGCTGCAAAATGTTCATAAGTTTTCCATTTTTTAACTTCCAAGAATGTTTTTTAGAATACATGCATGTTACTTTAATTGTCAGCTTTAGTAAATATTATAATGAATTGAGTGAGTCTTAAAATTTCTATATAATAATATTAACTTTTTGTAATTAACTAGTATAGAAGTATTCCTATCAGATATTTGCCTGTTCATGTTGAGCCTTTGGGTTAGGTGTTACTTAAATGATTAAATGTGCTGCCTTTTACTGGTTTAGTAAGTTTATATTGGAGATTTAATAACATTATTTTGTGCTTAAAGGGAAAGGCTTTGTATATAAGTTAAGCTTGCTCTTTACTTTGAAAAAAGTGGTATTTTAAGTGATAAACATTTCTTAAGTGACTCAAATATATGAACACATTGTAGCAAAATCATCAAGTTATCATTCATATTGCTTAGGCATCTGTTACATATTTCAAAGATAGAATAATAATAGTACTGGGTACACCATCAAGTGATTATTATAGATAGAACAATGACATACTGAGTACACCATCAAGTGATTATTATAGATAGAACAATGACATACAGGGTACACCATCAAGTGATTATTATAGATAGAACAATGACATACAGGGTACACCATCAAGTGATTATTAGATAGAACAATGACATACAGGGATAGAACAATACACCATCAAGTGATTATTATAGATAGAACAATGACATACTGGGTACACCATCAAGTGATTATTATAGATAGAACAATGACATACAGGGTACACCATCAAGTGATTATTATAGATAGAACAATGACATACAGGGTACACCATCAAGTGATTATTTATAGATAGAACAATGACATACAGGGTACACCATCAAGTGATTAT